TATAAATATGTTTATATTTATAGTTCGTCAGGCGTCGCACATTAAATTAAATGATTATTATGCCCGTTAGACCCTATTAATTGAATGATTAAGCGCTGATGTCGTTCGCTCAAGCAGCTCCTAGGCAAAGAGTTAACCCAATCCCACTACCTGGCGTCGTCGATGTACGCGGTGTCTGTGGTGTTAACGACGATTGTGTACCATCATTTTCCGGTATGCTGGTGCTGCTCTTCAGTATGAGACGTGGTCGATTGGGATGGATTGGAGCTGGCTCCTCGCTGCCAGTTGACGACGGCGGCTGCGTCTCCTCCGGCTGGGCAACCACACGATCCGCCAGCGAGGAGGTGCCGGAGGTGCTACTTGTTGAGCAGACACTATTGTTGCGCCCACGCGATATGATATGCGCCTGTGGAAAATTCGTATCGTCGATGGCATCGTTCAGCTCGCTGGCGCTCATCTCGGACAGTTGGCGTGTGAAGCTCATGTTTGGCTGGATGCAGTTGCCTTTATTTAACTTGCAATATATTGTTGGCGCAAAAAAATGAATAGCCAAATACACAAAAAACTTTTTCGACTTTGGATGAGGAAAAAATCGTAACTCGGCTCGGGCTATGCGTGTTAACGTTGTGGAATGCTTTAGGCAACTGGCTGCCCGCTGGGCTCGTCGTTGCTAATAAGAACTTCAAGCAGAGCTTTGAGCGTGAGCAGAGCTTTTGAAGAGCGAGCGAGCTTTACGTGCGTCTACAATGCTCTTAAAACTGTTGACTTTCGAACTTGTTGCTTTTTGAGTGAGGGCGCACGGTGGGTGGGTGGTTGGTTTGGGTGGCTTGGGTGGACGCCCACTCGAACGTGCTCAAGGTCTATTAACTTCAACTTTGATTTCATGTGCGTGCGTATGCGTGCGCGTGTGCGTGTATGAATGTGTATGTGTGTGTGTTTACCCAAGCTTGAGTAGTCAGAACTTTTCAGTCACTTAAAAACGTAGGCAACACGTAAATCCTGCCTTCACCGAAAAATTCCAAATTTTTTGTTAACATGGCTCATCGCATCAAGCTCCGTGCCGATGACTTTGATGTCGTTGGTGCCGTTCCACGTGATCTTTCGGTGATCAAGAATTTTCTGAAACGGGATTGCGCCGTCAAGCGTCTCATTGAAATTGAGGAGGGCTTTCTCAAGAAATGCATGGAAATGCAGGCCGAAGAGGCCGAGGAAGCGAAAGCCAAGAAGTCACAATATGGAGCAATCAAAGAAGAAATTGAGCAACCACCTCCGGATCCATGCACTAGCACATCCCCGCCAGATGCAAATGCGGCTGACTACTGTGATCCGTGTCGGCGATTGAAGACGTCTATCGTGTTGGAAGAGGTGCGTAAAATATAAGAATCTTTCCATCACCATCTCCATCTCCATCTCTTTCATTTCAATTTTCCCCTCTACGTTTAGCTAACGAAGCCTACCACCATCAATCCTGCGATGGGCTTTGCGCCCTACTTTGATGAGGAGACTGTGTTGGACAAATCTCAGCCCATTAAGTTTCGCTTTCGCCGAAGGCCGAACAACTGCGATACTGAGATTAGGTCAACGCTGCCCTGCGAGACGACCCAAAATACAAACGTCATGGTCCTCACCAACAGCAACGATATGATGGTATGGCCCAGTCAGAAGGTAGCACAGATGAATCGTGTGCCAGTCACCCTGCTATCGGGCCCCGGCGATCTCACCGAGTACATGCTGGAGGAGGAGACAATCATGTAGACCGAAAATTTGGAATTTGAAAAAATCAGTTTTTAATTGAAAATTTACACAACAGCTAAATAGCAATAAATAGTATAATCTCTAAAAGAGGAAAAGAGAAAAAAGAGAGGGAAAACACAGGAAAAACACGGTCTAAATATTATTTTTGTGTGTGATGTGAGGTAAAAACAAAAATTAATTTGAATAGAGAGAGGGGAGAGATAGAGGTAGGGACAAATTCCAGAAATATGTATTCTATTCTGGTGGAGAAAGTAAAAGTTAATTAGTGCGAGAAAGAGCGAGGTAGAGAGTAATATTCCAAATAAAAATGTATTCTAGATAATTTTAGTAAAGAGACAGAGTATGAGATGCCAAAAAAGTTGTTGCTCCTATTTGGGAAGCCCTGAAAAAATCGCACAATAAATGGTTGATAACTTCTATGGCTTATGTAAAAGTTGACATAAATATGTATTGATATAGACATCACATATATACGCATATATATGTATGTTACATATCAGCACATATAAGTCTTTGCTTTACATATATAGAAAGTGTCCCCGAAGAAGTCAATGAACGCTACTGGCAAAAGGAATTTATGCATTCCGAATGTCTGAGATTGAATTTGAATTTGATTTTGATTTTGATGTGAGATGTRGAGCTCTTTCTTTGGGGATCGAATATATAGACGTATAGATTGTACAGAGTGATACAACTGTGAAATGACTCGGATTCTGTTATTTACCATATATATGTGATTATACGTATGTATATATGTATATACCATTTAGATAAGTTGAATGTACGGTAAAAACTGTGGAACATTTTCAAATTATATATGTAGGTAATATATTTACATACTATATAAATATATTAAATCAGAGTTGAACTATAAAATCTTCGATTGGGAGCTCTTTAGATTATTTCCTAGTTACAAAATGTTCAAATCTTCACATACATATATATTTATACCTTTTAAGAGGCAATAATAATATATGCAAATGGATTTACCCAATATTATGAATCATATTTAAATGTATGTAAAAAACAAGAAAGGAATTGTCCATACATGGTATATATATTATATATACATATTATATATAAGATATATATGATTAATAGGGTATATATAATTTCCAACCGTATATATCCTTACAAGTAATGTCTATATTTCATATGATTTGCACATTCCTTTCAGTTCATTGAAGTACAGTAAAATCTCTGTGGATGTGTGACTAAATGCTGCGTAAAAAACTAGTTAGAAATAGTTTTCAGATAGAATTTGTATTATAGCATTTCATGCCATTCATATCAATTGAGTAGAGTAAATGTGATGTAGAATGCAATTTGTTAATATCAAACAGAATAATATACTTTGGCAGATATTTCCAATACACATTTCATTCAGCTCCAAGTTCCGAAATGGATTTCTGAATTACAAAACAAACTGATTTGGTATAGACTCTAGACTGCAGGGAGGGATGCTTGTTTAATAGAGCCAACATTAGCGAATGGTTGTGAATAGTTGGAATACTATGAATTGAGCGAGTAAATGATCTAGTCGTAGAGACAACCAGTTGGCACATAGCGTAAGCATGCAATGCAATGTAATTAAAAGTAAGGTAAGTCATCATTAACATTTTCCATAGGGCAGGTGTTTTTTACTCTTGTTTTTTTTTTTCTCTCTTATTTTTTTGTCATAGTTCACAATTACGCATTACGGAATTCTAAGAAGAACACATGGGCATGGCAATGGATTTAAATGTATATCAGGTTATTGATTCATTTAGGATTTGTTATTGGTTTTTTGCTGCTTAACAATTGCTAGTGAAAAACCGTGCGAATAGCTTATTTTTTTTTATTGACCGCGATCGCTCAAATGTGAAGCACGACGGCGACTTATTGCTCATGCAATATGAAAGAAACAAAGAAAACCCAAAGATAGAAAAAGAAACACAAATATATATACACATATATATTTTTTTTATATATACATATATAATACCGACAAATCTAAACCGTTTTAAACGGCTGCTTGTGCTGTGTGTGGTACTCGCGTCCAATTAAATGCTTTTAACCTTCAAAAAGTAGTACAGGTCTAGCCTCGAGCCCCACTCCCGGCGGCTTGCCCCTGGCTTTTGGCTAAATACCGGATTACGCTGAGGAGTTTATGCTGTCTATAGATATACATACACTAACAGCCAACATAGCCAAAAACGCTCTCATTGAATCTTCCGATCTGCAGTGAACTTTCAATGTCAATGTCAACAAAATCTATTACGATCATTGACAGTTGCTGTCTATTTTTTTAATGCTTTTTGATCTGTCATTGTGTGGTTTTCATATCTATATGTGTGTACTTATTATGTAGATCTTGCTCTTTGAATTTTGTCTTGAGTTTCGCGATTGCGGCTTATGTGCAATTGGTTTTATGTTAACAACATCGCCGGAAATTAGAGCCATGTCTAGAGGGTCAGTGTGCGAATCTGAGCTGCATCTTAACTGATCTGAACCTGACCTAAGAAGACAAATTGTGTGATGAAATATTACTGCTCGATTGCTAAGCCTTATGAGAGCTATCAATTATGGAATTAATCAACATTACGTTATGTGAGAAAAATTATTAAAGACACATAAAACGTAAGCTGCAAATTGAAATTTTATTGTTTTAGTTAGTTTTCACTAGTTAATGGAATTAAAAAGCTGCTAAACTAAATCATATACAAATGTATTTTAACATTTTCTCTCGTTCTACTCAAAATTGCACTGCAAAACTTAACGGAAAACAACAACAAAGCTGCACTGCATACGAAACCCGGACAAGCATTCGCGCTTAACTGTAAAACAACGGGAATCCTTTCCACTCACCATTTCCGTTGCCTATGTTAAGCAATTCCAGTTTCAGCTGTTGACTACTTTTGGCAGGAACAACAGCGCCCGCGCTGACAGCAGCTGCTGTTGGTACGATCGCGGCAGCGTCCATGGCGACGGTGGCAGCATCTATGGCAATGTCGCCATTTTGAGTGCTACCATTTTGTTCGTTAGCTTGAGGTTTCATTTTGTTAAAGATGTTTTTTTTTGCGATTATTTATGTAAATAAAACAAGGATAAGCGTAGGCTCTAGGTTTGGATTTGGTTTTGATTTGGTTTACTAGCGTTTAGAATTTCTGCTTAACTAAAAAACACACTAAATAACGCGTCGCTTGCAATTGTTGTTTATGCTAGATTTAACTGTTTATTAAGTTATTAAATTTTGTATTATTGGTTGATGCTAATGCGCGCGCGTTCCGCTTTTATTTGCTACACCCGACTAAACGGCCAGAGATTTAGTTGTAACCTTTTTATTATGAAAAATCGAAAGTTCTTGTTCAACGAGAGATACAACTGACGACGACGACTCAGCCAGCGTCGCTTTTGCGGTCGCTTGCCTTTTGTTGGCGATGTTGTTGCTAATACAGTGCGCTCCCGATAAGTGGAGCAAACAACTATTCGCAACAATTGCTTTCAATTATATTTGGGCTAGAGCAGTTATGTATTCTAAGCAATCGTTATTCTAATAATGTAAGTAAAAGACCTGAGTCTTAAGTTAAGACTGCAAATAACAGTTAGCCCTTTGATGCTATGCTCTACATTCGCAAAATTAACCAAATAAAATCATATTCACTCGCTCTCACTCTCACCCTTTGGTTATTTTGGCTATTATTATCTGTTGAGCGCCTTCAATTAAACTATTCATATAGGGCGATTCTTAGCATAAGAGTACAATATCTCTAATTTGTTTGTTTTCCTTTTAGCGTGGGTGCACTGTAATTGTATTCGGTTACTTTTCGCTTACTTGTTGCTCTCTGAGTGCTGGCCGTGGCCGTTAGTTATGTGCATATATGCGTGTGTAATTGTATACATATGTATTATTGCAAAGCTTTTTCGCTACACATACACAGATTCTCTCTTTCTCTCTCCCTCTCTGTCTCTCGGGCTTAGCACACTCTCAAGCTCACGCGAGGACTACAGGAAATCAGTGTGCGCCGTTATTAAGAAATAAGACAACAAATTGAAAACATAAAATGGAATGTGAGTAATTATTTTTGTGGTGTGCTCAAATGTTTAGGTAGTAATTGCCGTCGCTGGCGGCAGTAAGTGCTAAATAGGTAAAATTGCAAAAACAATCGCACTTGTCGCCATCCACTGGACATATGAACATAATTGTTTTTTATTGTCTTGATAACCTGTCGGCGCATCATTAATAAGTCATTGGCAAATGTACACTGATAGCGCTACAAAATTAATTTCGTTCAGGTTAAATAAAATCATGTTCGGTCAACACGGATCATCGCATATTTAAATTATTTCCATGTTTCTTATCAGAACCCATTTGAAAAGGCGTCTTGAAGCGATATCAATAAAGATTTCGATTCGTCTAGACCAATTTATCGGCGTCAAATTGGTCATCGATAACAATAAGAAGATTGATTTAGGCGCCTTGAACGGCAGCCGCAGTTAAAGGCATTGAGTCATTCAGTTGGGGCAATGAGCAACCGCTAAATTATTAATAATATTAATTAACAGTTAATAAGGCATTTGCGTCAGTTTTGCCCTGGCAAATCCGAACGATTAAAACCAAAAACAAAAACAACTCTTTTTTGACTTTTCATTTTTTGTGTGATTTGCTGCTCCGTTTAATGGCATTCAATGCCATTAGCTGGCAACAAATTGGCTTTTTATTATAATTATTATTCTCATTCAGACAGAAACATGGCCAGTGGTTAAAGAAAATACATTGCGGAAGGAAGCCGGCGCCAGCTGGAGAGCCGGTTTTGCGCCACGCGACTCTCTAATTACAACTCCTGCACCTCACCGCCTACACCTTCTTTGCCCTGCGCCTGCCGTTCCAGTTTCTCCTGCTCCATTGTCTCCAGCTGTGCCAGAGTCAGCAACGAAATGCCCAGCTGATCTTCCCTCGAAAACGGCTGAGCCATACGTCTCAGCCAGCGGCGTGCCAGTTGCACCGCCTCCTCCGTGGACAAATTGCAAAAGCTGTCCACCAAATGCTCCTGTATCCATTTGGGCAGACGCGACCGCTTGTCCTGGCGTGAGAAGCGTTTGTCCGCAAATATCATGATACCATAGTCCGTCTTGCCACGCAACGCCCGACCCACACATTGGGCCGCATGTCGCATCGCATCAAAGGTTAGAAAATCGTTCTCTCGTATCTGAAACTGATCCCGCAGATAGTCGAGGCGCGCCTTGAGTATGCGGGACTGCGTATAAACGTAGGGTATGCCGAACATGAGCACCGCGCGACCATAATGATGATCGAAATCCACACCCTCGGAGACCTTGCCACGCGCCACAGCCAGCAGAACAGCACCTCGACCGCAATCGCATGCCTAAAACAAAGACAGCATAGATCGAGATCGAGATCGAGATGAATGTGTGTCAAGAACATCATCAATGGAAGCCATAGCAATTGGAGACTGCGATTCAGATTGCGAGCTGAAATTTGAGGTCGCTCACCTTAACATAGTTCATGAGCGCATAGCTTGTTTCGGCATTGTCCTGGGTCTCGATGAACAGCAGCTTATAGCGGAGTAGAGTATCCACAATGCCCTGGTCATACCACGAGGCCACAACCGACTCCAAGTACAGATATGATGTAAAGAAGCAAACGATGCCATCGGGCACAGTCTTGGCCACCTCCACCAACAGCTGGCCATAGTTCCTGATGACAGCAGTGTCCTCGCGCGTCTCGAACTTGGACGAGATGGCCACCTGGTCATTGCCTTTTGACACGATCTATATCAAATATTATATCTAAATAAATTAATAAACAAATCTAAGCCTAATTCAAACTGCTTCATTTACCATAGGCAGCAGACAGGGACGAGCAAGAGTCATGGTAAAGCTACTCATAACAACTGGATCAAAGTCCAGAATCTTAGGATACATGTCCATGGGCGACAGCGTGCCCGATGTGATGACAACCGTTTGAAACCGTGAGAATACTGGCGCCATGGCAATAGATGAGTCCAAGCAGCTGAAATGCATTATGGGATTCGAAACAGTCGGCGTCTTGTCATCGAACGGCTCAATGATAATGGTAAATCCTTTCGTGTACGTGGAGACCAAGGTGGCAAAGTGTGTTATCTGTGACCAATTGCATTGAATCGTTATCATCAGCAATAATATGCACAATTACATACCAGCGTCAGGGCCCCGAATTCCGTCATATCAGTAATCTCCAGGGTGCGCAACAAGCTGGACAAGCGCTCCGCACAGAAGCGCAACGGTTTGCGCTCTATGCATATTTTCGATGAAACATCTTTAAGGAATCCCGCCGGTGATTCCTGTACCACGTGATGCACCCGCAGTCGAGTTTTAATGTATTCTATGAAACGACGTAGGAAACTAAGAAAATGATCCGCATTTCGAATGTTGCCCGGGACGACCTCTGTGAGCACATCGTTAGGCAGCACGGGATTGGCCAGAATCATGTCCGTATCACGCTGTACACTGGCATCCTTGAGGCCCTGCACCATGCGCTGATATTCCTCATTTAAACGATTGGTGTCCTCTTCCCGCATTCTGCAATAGACAATTAATTAGGCATGTTTAATTATTTGAGCAATCATGGAGTAGGTCTTACTCTTGGACCAATTTTGTGAGCTGATTTAAAGCGTTGGTACTCCGCTCAACTGTTCTTCGATTTATTTTCACGCTCATGGAGTCGATGCATACGTTGTCTATATTATGAGCCTCATCGAAAACCACACAGGACTCGCGTGTCATTTCCTTGGAGACAACCTGGGCGATCTTTGGATCCAGTAGATAATGATAGCTGTAGACAACAATGTGGGCGTGTGCAATCTACCAGAGAAATGGATAGAGAGTGGAGGGCGTAAGTATTTATATCATATACTAATAAATTAACATTCTTAACGCACAGCGTAACGTGCCAGAAAGTACGGACACCAATTTCTCGACCGTCCATATTCTTTAAGATCATCGATGCTATAGACGCCCACAGGCAGCGTCGACTCCTTGCCCTCCAATGTGAAGCCCTCAAAATACTGACCTATAAGAACAATCAATGTTAAATGGACTTAACTGCAATGGCAATTACTTACATATGGGAACCTCGGGATCCAGTTCATGGCGTTCGCGTATATAGCTGGCAGTTAGCCCATAGCACTTGCCATCGACCGCTTTGCCCTCGCGCTCCTTGCTGACCTCGGGATGAATGCACAAATTTTTACGGGAGCTGAGCACCAGGCCAGTGAAGCCTGGAGCTACTGGTGCATTGCGCTCATAGTATGCCATTAGGTTCTGCAACTCGGCAATAACTTTCTCAATCTCCGGCACCGTTCGGGAGCAGTAAATCAGCTTGCGCACTGTCTCCGGATGCTCAATCATATAGGCGACTACCAGGGAGAGTAATGTTGCTGTTTTTCCTGTGCCCGAGGGCATTTCAAGTAGACAGTGCCCCTTGGCGTCCAGACTTCTCTTAAGCTCCAGCATGTATGCATATTGCTCAGGATAAATATATTCATAGGGGAAATAAACGAGCAGTCCGTCAACACTGAGCCTGAGAGACGAAGTAGCCGACGATTAATTAAATTGAAAGCAATTATTGTACATTATATATTAATCTTACTTCATTGTGCTCCTGTGTGTCTTTAGCGTGTTATACTTGAGCTCAGTTCACAATATTTTTTTCAAAATTACGTTATTTAGAGTAATTCTGGAATTGTTTAGTTTTGGCTGCTGCGGCGACGAACATGCCGGCAACTATCGATTGCTATCGATTGCATGGATAATAATATAAGAATTGTGCGTGCTTTTACCGTGTCATGTACGCTGTTCATCATTTCAAAGAATGGTAACCCGTAAGCATATATTAATACAAAATTAATTTAACATTTTTTATTTATTAAAAGTTATTCAGCTCTTGAGTAACCTATCTCATATTAAGTGTCTCGCAGTTAAAAAAAATAAATATTAAGTGTCTTACACATTTCAAACATGCAAGCAAAATAACCAGTTGCTGAGCTAAGCAAAATTTGTACTGGTATCAGCATACCAGGCGCAAGAAATTTTCAGTAGTAGTAGCTCTATTGCATTTAAGCTAAAGTATATGTGTTTCTAAGGGTTTATTTTTTAATTATTTAATTGTAAAAGTGCTTTATACTAGCATTTAAAAAAATCAACGAATTTTCGCCATATGGACGACCTCAATCCCTTGGCTGGAACAGCGCATCTGCTGGAAGAAGTTGATAGTATTTACTGAACACTTAAGCCGGCAAACTGTAATATGAATAATAATATATTGTGAACTTGTAGAAAAACTAATGGTGCTGCTCCGAGACGGTCGAACATTAATAGGCTACTTAAGGTCCGTAGATCAGTTTGCCAACCTTGTTCTGCAGCGAACAATCGAGCGGATACACGTCGGCAATGAGTATGGAGATATTCCGCGAGGCGTCTTCATAATACGAGGCGAGAATGTGGTGCTCCTGGGTGAAATTGTGAGTAAAGAGAGCAAGACTTAATCGGGTGAACTAATATATAACGTCACATTGCAGGATCGGGAAAAGGAACAGAAACTTCCATTAAAAGAGATTTCTGTCGATGAGATTCTGGATGCTCAGCGACGTGAGCAGGAGCAACGACAGGAGAAGCATCGACTCGTCTCGAAAGCACTTAAAGAGCGTGGCTTAGCGGTCAATGCGGATATAATCAATGAGGATTTCTGCTGAGCGCCGTGTGCGCATTATAACAAATACATATTTAGAATTAAGCGTAAGATAAAAATGATTTTTGTCAGTTGTATATTTGTACTCCATAAAAATCTATTTAAAAACTATATGTACATATATGTCGCTATGTAGTATTCCTGCTTAATCATTCTGACTTGTCCCAGGTGTCCCTGTCGTGGACTCCTCCAGCAATATGTACTTCTCCAGAATCTGGTACATTTCCACTTTTGCCTTAATCTTATGACGACGCGATAATTGCCGCAAATAAGCTGCCACGGATTTGCAGAAGAAGTCGTCCTCGGTTTCGTTGGACGCACTAGTGGCGGCAGTGGCTGGTGCACTTACTGCCTCAAAGCCGGGCGATGCCTCGGGCTTAATGGGCGGCAAATGCTCCGCTTCAACTCTCATGTTCGGCATACAGACCATAAATTCAATGTCCGTCTGCGAATGTCCAGCATCGGACGGCGAGGCACCCGACGTGGACGCATTCCCCGCCGTCGGTGTATCGTTGTGGACTGTGACCAGCGAGGGCGATGGTTGCAACGGTGGCAAGACTTTTTGATCGGCCGACTCGGAATCGCCCATATACTCCTCATATGATTCATGTCCATCTCCATCGTCCGCTTCCACGAGCACAGAGTAACTTTCCGATTGTGTCGTCTGCACTTCCAGCTTGGCATCCGCGTCGTAGTTGTGGTCACAATCGTCGTACACCTGCGACTCATCTAAGTCCTGTTCAATAAGTGGGTCTGGCACTGGGCGTGATTTCGTTTTCACCGTTCGCACCTCAGCTTTGAGCCAATTTGTTGGCGTATCATCATCTTCACGGCGTCTTCTCTCACGACGCTTCCGCACAAACTCCCGCAAAAAGTCCATTTGCCTGAAGAATTCATTTCGACCAAATTCCGAGGACGGATGCAAACGCATTTGCTTCAACTCGCGCGAATAACGATCCCGTAGACACGTCCATCTGCGTCGCGCGTCGGGCGATGAAATATTTAGGGTCTTGGCCACTTTGGCCCAATCCTCTTCCTTTCTTTGTGATAGGCGAAAGTCGCCATGTCTGTGGTCGTACAACGATGGTGTTGAACGTATCGTGCGTATTAGCATAACATCTGACTCGTCAAGTGGCCTATGATGGGCGCTCATTATTTGTTAATTGCTATTCAGCATTAATTTTATTCAATTTGCAGCAGCTTATGTTTTCGTTTTGCTTTCTTTCCAGTGTGACCATTGCGGGTATCAGCATTAATGCGTGGTATGCCCGTCATATTGCTCCATTCTTATCAGTCCGGCAACGCCAAGATCTTGCAATTAAGAGCGGAATTTTTTATTAATATCATCAGCCTATTACAAATCAATGATCATGTGTATATAGTATCATCCCATAGTAAAAAATTGTAGTTATGTTTATGTATTCGATAAGCAATCTAAGTAATCATTCGATTGTTTTCCTTGATGAATCAATGTATCAAATTATGTATGTTTTGTATCGATGAGCTGATATACGAAATAAGCATCCCTACTATCGGCAGCCATTTTTTCACGCTTTCTTGCGAAAAAATTGTGAAAATTCAAGTAAAAAGTTGTTAAACTGGCAAGAAAATAATTTATAAAGATCACATATACTGAAATAGTATGCGAATTTGAATATTGTGCGTGCGTGTAGTGTGTGAGCATTGAAATAATCATGGAGACGGTCGTCGCTTTCAATAATGAGGTAAGATGAGGCCGCCGCAGCACACACACATGTACATATCAAAATGTACTTACATATTTATATCTGCTCATATATACCACTCGGTATTTACATATATGTCTCATGTACGCCTTATGTAGTTGTGTAATTTGTACAATTATATTCCCGACATTTACATGTGTGTATATATGTAGATTCAATATTGTTGCCAACAAACATGCAGCTTCGCGTCCTGCCGTGCTGCCCATACCAATAGAAAATAATCCCTTTTCGCTCTTTGTGCCTTGTGCTCGACCATCTATTTCTACATGTGTATGTTTTCTTTCAGCTCTCCGGGCTCTATGATAGCCGACCGCCCATATCGAAGGCTAAAATGGCCGCCATCACAAAGTCGGCAATGCGTGCAATTAAATTCTACAAGCATGTTGTGCAGAGTGTTGAAAAGTTTATACTCAAATGCAAGCCGGAGTACAAAGTGCCGGGCCTGTATGTCATAGACTCAATAGTGCGACAATCGCGTCATCAATATGGCACCGAGAAGGATGTGTTTGCGCCCCGCTTCCAGCGTAATCTAACCGAAACGTTTGCAAATCTGTTTCGTTGCGCGCCCGAGGACAAGAGTCGCATCATTCGCGTGCTGAACCTTTGGCAAAAGAACAATGTGTTCAAATCGGAAGTAATACAGCCAATATTTGATTTGGCTGATCCAAACCATCCGATTTACCATCAAATGCCACCAATCGGCGCCGGCAATCTCAACGCGAGCTCTGGACCAAGTGGCAGCAGCGGCGTTCTAAATCTCTCGGATATTTCCAGTAGCAATGCTGCCAATGGTTTGAATGCCTCGGGAATGAGCAATATGGATATGAGTGGTGCTGTCGACGATAAAATGGGTGGTGCAATGCCGGATCTGTCGGTGAGTGGACAATGGGTGATTGAAGAGAACAAAGACTGGCAATGAATTAGGTCCAATAACAATATGATGTAGTAGTTAGTCAACCCACTATGGGCAGCTATACTCATTGCCAGGCTATGAGCGAGTAATGTGGTTTGTCTTTCGATTCTAATAAGCCAATTGGCATTGCTTCCTTGTTACTATCACTATTTGCTCTATTTCTGATACATGTCTCGCTCGCTTGTCTAATGTACGCAACTACACAGATAAGCCACGAGAAGTGCTCAAGCTCTAGTCGACGTCACATGGAACAGCATTATATGAAGCGTCAACAACAGCAGCAGCAGCAGCATCAACATAATATGCCATCCAGCAATTCGGCATCTGGTTCGAAGAGCCGTTTCGATAGTGGGGGACTAAGCAAGTCGCATCATCACAACAAATATGGCAAGGGTAGCAGCTCCCATGAGCTGGACTATGATCTGCGTGAGATAATCGATGACGAGGATGGGGACATGCTGATGGGCGACGATCATCATTGTATGGGCGATGATACGCCGCCCGGCTCTTCCAATTTGCTAGATGTATGCATAGGTCTATTCGTTATTTATCGTATTAGCTTTTGTGTTGAGGCTTTAGTTTTCTTGGGTTTATTTATTTATTAGTGTTCACAATTATTTAAATGCATGCTAATAATAGCATCTAATTTCGCAGAACAATAATTTAAAGCAGCTGCTCAACGATCCCAATGTCTTACGCCAACTGCAAACGCTGCAAAACTTTCAAAAGTTTAAGCAACAAGAGGAGAATCAAAAGCATCGCTACCAGGAGCAGGATGCCTTGCAGCAGCATTTGCAGAATGTTCTCAAGGTAAGTGCGATCATTTACTCATCATAATCTCTGGTACTAGGGAATTTTCCTTTCTGCTCATTTTAGGGCACAGGTGGCTTGCCGCCGGGCGTCGGCATGGGCATGAGCCACAATGATGTGATGGACATGAACAAGGATGTTGAATTCATATCGGAACAGCAACCGATTGAGGTATACACCACACCATTTACTTTTAATAATGTAGAGTTCATCGAATCAGTCAATGTGTGCATTTTTAATTGATTGCGAAATTGCAATAATCAATTCAAACTGCATTACATAACTGAATTATTGTAGCTCATAATTAGATTACAATATATAGTATATATATAAGCGCACACATGAAAGTGGAACTAGTGTCGCATCTATTTCAAACTATATCCAACTATATATAGCTCCACTTTCATAGTGCGCCAAGTGCTGCTGACGTGCCCAAAATGTTGTTATACCGGGGCGGAGAATTCAGAGATTACCGTTTAATCGAAAGAATGGGGAATACTATTATTAATTACGATGATATGAATAACGACTTGATGTGCCTTACTGTTAAGTGCAATAACCGTTGTCGAATTTAAAAATTTTTGGCCAAAACTTAAAAATAACTATCAATAGGGCCATACTTAAATTTAAATTTGCAACTTTGCCTATACGTTTATATTAAAAATGGTAAATGAATGCCCAAAGGTAAGGTTTAACTTTATATATAATGACGGATGCGATACCCGATGCTAGAAGCGCCCCCGCCCTCCGTATAACAACGTTTGGTAAGTGCCTTAAATATGTAAACCACAAATTCAAGTCAGATTCAATTCAATTACCCATCAATGAAACACAAAAACTTGCTCGAAAACGCATCGATGAGAAAATGCCAATGAAAAACAAAAATGAGAAATGAGAAATAGTTAAGAACCGCCAACCAAGTTTGAAAAACGGCCAAAACCACACGTCAACACGCCAAGAATGCAGTTATAAAATAATACGTATTCTCTGTTTAATTTGTAGTTTAACAACAATTCCCAACCCACAACCACTACCATCTTCTACTCCTATCCCATCCCATTCTAGAAAATAATTAAAATGAAACTAACCACGTCCCTCTCCCATTCCCACTCCACATCCGCCATTATTTGTTTTATGCTTAAAATGTTAACGTGTTTATATCACAATCACTTTCTCTCAAATTCTTTGCAAAACTCCAAACGCTCAGGTTATCAATCTGGATGGTGCCGATTCCCGTAGTCCGACGCCCGATCGTGACCGTTACAAGCGCAGTCGACGCAGCAGCCGCAGTAGATCGCCCCGTAGTCGTGGCGGCGGCGGTGGTGGGGGTGGTGGTGGCAATGGAAACGATCGTGATCGGGGAAGTCGCCGTCGCAGCTCACGTTCGCGCAGCCGTTCGCCACGTTCCAGCCGCAGGCGCGGATCGCGCGATCGTGACCGCATGGAGCGCAGCACGCGCGACAAGGAGCGGGATCGCGAACATGAACGTGAGCGACGCAAGAAGGGCCTGCCCGAGATTAAGAAGGAGCATCTAAGTGGTAATTATTCCATGCACATAAGCGTAGCGTAACGCCGTTACGCATCACGTAAGCCCACTCACTCAATACGTAATTGTCGCATGCAAAAGGTTTTCCAGATGACAGAGAATGACAAAACCTTTTGATGCCACATTTACCTGTGAATTACACTTTGTTTTGGTTCACTCTCGTTTGGTCTTTTCAATTAATGCTAATACACAAATGTTTCTTTATTCTGCAGCTCCTTGGCTCGGTTGACGTGTGTGTGTATGAGTGCGTGTTTGTGTATGCGTGTGTGTGTGAATGTGTGATTTAGCTTTAAAGGTTCTAAATCTCATCTGGCATATTTAACCCAATGTCTCTGAAGCGTTTTTGAGCAAAGTTTTTTAGCAACGAAATGAATTGAATAAGCATATTAATGTACCTCCCCATTTTTATCAGTGTATCATCTAAGCACAGAGCAAATCTACTACACTTAAGGCTCCCTAAGGAGCGATATGTCTATTGAAATAATTTTTGCTTGATATTTTATTGCATACATGTGAAAAACTAAAGCTACACCTACACGCCCAGAGCTATATTTTACATACCAGCACATACATATATATACACATTCTATATGCAGTGAATTAGGTTCACAATTAATTTGAAAAATATCGATTCCGATTGAAGTCGATAGAAACTGTAATATTAAAGCTTAACAGTCATTTATCGAATTGAAACATCGGCAAATAAGCGAGGCGCTCTTCTGCCAAAATTTAGTTTGTTAAAAGAAAGTGTTTATTTAATTGAATAATATTACAAATTATTCAGAGATATCTCTATAAGGAGCTTTTCCCATTGAATTACATACATAAATATTTATACAAATGCTCAGACTTGTACTCTAGATATTCAGTACATACTTATATGAGTATTAATTTCTAGGGAAATAGTTTTTCGACTGAGCCTTTATTCTTCTTCTTCTAGAAGTTTTTACCTTTATAGACAATATTACTAATAGGAAAATTAAAAAATCCATTAAAATTTCAGTTATAAAACCATTTTGTGTATCGAGGTTTCTATTCTAATGATAACATTGTACTTTGAAAAGTACCAAGTAAAAATTGTAAATATTGTATGTTAATAATATCCAGAATTTTTAATTTTATTAGGAAAGTATATAATAAAATTTGAGCTTAAAATAAATTTTTTTACTAGATAGTATAATTGTGAAGCATAAATGTATATGTCAAAGGGTCTAGTATTCACTCTATTAATTATATGAAATATTCTTATTAGATGTAGAATATATTAGTTAAATGAAATTTGAATTTTAACAATCTATGTATATCCAACTAGTTCGAGTATTAAGACACTCTAAGATATATTAGAATTGTAATAGGCATATGCTTCTATGCATATTCTATTGAATCATGTGAGATATAGCCATATCCGATAGCTGACGCAAGGCTACATAAAGGAATAGTGTACAGAAAATGACAAAAACTAAAAACCAAACGAGTTGTGTTTTATATTAAACTTTATTAAATTAATTTATCCTTAATAATATTTATTTAATTAATATATATTTAATACATTTATCTCTGCAGTGTGCAGTACCACGCTGTGGGTGGGTCATCTCTCCAAGCTGGTGTACCAGGAGGAGCTCTCGGATACTTTTGGTGAATATGGCGATATCGTGAGCATCGATCAGATTGTGCCCAGAGGTTGTGCATTCATCGTGATGAATCGTCGCCAAGACGCACACAAGGCTATGCAGGCGCTTAAGAATCACAAGCTTCAAGGTCGTGCCATTACCATATCTTGGGCAGCTGGGAAGGGTGTGAAGAGCAAGGAATGGAAGGATTTCTGGGATCTTGATCTCGGCGTCACATATGTGCCGTGGAACAAGCTGAGCCCCGACACGGACTTCGACAGTCTCGAGGAGGGCGGCATGTTCGACGAGGACACCATGCCCAGCTGGATGAAGCAAAAAATCAATCAGGCGAAAAATGTCAAGGATGTCAAGCCGACAGCCCTAACCGGAGAAATGCCCAATGTGCCGTCTGTGGCGCCGCCAAACTTGCTCTTTGGGATTGACACCACACAGCCACCGCCAGTGGCTCCGCCACAGCATGGCGGACCTGGTGCACCTCCGCCCGCGCTGATGGGTATGGTGCCTGGCCAGTTCCAGATGGCGCCTCCATTGGGCGCACCACCGCCGCAGCGCATGTTGGGTCCCATGGGGCCGCTGAACCATCCGTTGGGCAGCATGGCTATGCCTCCGAATATGGTGCCCGGCATGCCGCCGCCAATGATGATGCCGCCTAATATGATGCCACCCGGTTTTCCGACCATGGGCGGCCCACCTCCACATCCTATGGGACTGCCGCCGGGCGCACAGTTTCCCCCGCCGGGAGCAGTGCCGCCGCCCATGGCCACAATTCCAGCACCCGCGGGCTCTGGCACTGGCAATGTGAGCGACGACCAAATGGACATCGAAATGGAGCTTGAGGATGCACCATCGCAATCGGCACCTACGTCCTCACAACAGCAAGCACCTAACTTCAGCCAACCGCCGCCGATCTTCGCAGGTGGCGCCACACAACCGAACAGTGTGGATGTGGCCGCAGCGGTTGCTGGAAATGATCTGTTCCAAAGGGATCGCACACGTGGTCCTAGCGGCGCCGGTTCTCGCTGGGGCGGCCGCGACGACATTGCTGAGGCTTCGGAGCGCTGGAGGAATGAGAACGGAGGCGGTGGACCGCCGCCGCTAAGCGGAGCCTTCAACGAGGCACGAGCGCGTCTCAATCTCAATAGCATGGAACATGGTGGAATGCAACGTCCAGAATTCTTGGGTGGCTTGGGTAAGTCGCAAGCAAAGTAAATGCCATATTCGTAATTTAATTAATGATGTTTCCATTTAGAATTTGATAATCGTCAAGGCGGTGGACCGCGTGGCATGGGTCCTGGCCCCAGGGGTGGCAATCATAATGGCGGCAATGGCGGAGGTGACTTCTTCCAGCCCAATATGAATCCCAATCAGAATCGGTTCAATCAGCCAACGAGTCTGATGCAGATGCGAATACCGCCGCCGGTGGCGTTTAATCAGCGCATGGGAGGACCGGGTGCAGGCAATGGAGTGGGTCCCATGTTTATGCGTAATCAAGGTGGCGGTGGACCAGGCGGCAGGCAGCAAGGACCAGGTAAGAACTATAAAGCTCAAAAATTAAATAAAAACTAATGCATTCTCTATTTAAAGGTTTCTTCAATCCGCGCAATCCGTTTAACGATAATCAACGTGGTCGTGGCGGTGGCGGAGGTGGTGGCGGCAGCGGTGGTAGTGGTGGTGGTCGTGGCATGGGCGGTGGCGGAGGTCGCGGTGGCCGATGGAGCGATGATGAGGAAGACGGCGGCAACAACTTCAAACGCCGTGGAGGCGGTGGCCCAGGTGGCCCGGGCAATCGATTCCGTGGCGAACGCGATGGCGATGATAGACGCGGCGGCAATGGACGTAGTGGACGTGGCAGCCAGCGCAGCGAAGAGCGTGAACGTGGACCCAACAATAATAACAGACGTGGCTCACGCGACGACAGTAATCGCCAGTCGATAAGCTCCACGGATGAGAACGCATTGCAGGGCAAACAGTCTTCGTCGGAGCCGGATGATATGAAGAATAAGCCGGTGGCAGCGCCATCCGTGAACAATGTAGAAAAATCAGCTGCTGTAGATACCGAGGAGGACTGGGATAGAGAGCTGCAGGAGTATGATGCTAGAATGGAAGCGCAACAAGCAGCTGAAGCTGCAGCGGCTGCAGAAGCCACCGCTGCCGCCTCTGGCGCTGGTGCTTCTACTGCCACAGATACCTCTGATATTAATAAACAGAAATCGGAAAAGCTGGCCGAAGTGGCACCTGCGTCAGAGGTAGAGACGTTTGCCACCCCGCATGCGGAAGAGATCAGCGAGGTGTCCAAGCCAAAGGCACCATCGCCTGTCTGCACGCCTCTCTATGACGAGTTGCCGCCACCAGCATCAGCAGCTGGAGCAACGGCGCCGCCACAGCCAGTTGAGCAGGCCGAAGAGCCAAATCCAAAGATCGAACAGAAGCGTGTGACTGAGGAATTTACGCATGAGCCCGAGCCTGAGTCTGCGCCTGCAACAGTGCAACAGCCACAACAACGCGTTGATTCCCCACCCAGAGCAGAGCAGTCACCGCCAGCCTCAGCAGCCCCAACAACAACAACAACAGAACCAACGAAAGATATAGCGGAGGAAACTGAGCCAGTTGCCAGTGCCCAGCCAGCAGTTGAGGCAGACTCATAGAATGTCGAGGATATCGAGGAATAACAGAAAAGGACAACAAAGATAGAAGGAACGGAAAAAGAGTCTTTCGATGGGACGTCAATGTGTTAGTCGAGAAATGTGTATTTTATGATTTCCTTACATATGATTCATGTATGTATGCATGTCACACAGCATACATATGTATATGCCCCCTTTTAATAATATTAAAATTTTAGCTTTTGAGATTACGCATTTGTTGAGACGCGACAAAGGTCTGCACTATTCTTGCTAGGCTAAGGCACTTTAATTGTATAATTTTTTAATGATTCACATATTATTTAAGGCTTTGGTGCCGCAATAAAATAAACCAACAAATTGTAGGGTCCTCTGACATCGGACGCTAGTAATTCCCCTCCTTCAAGTACGAATATTGTATGTAAAACAACAACAAATGAGAACCCAAACTCCAGAAAACATCAGCAGTTAAAAGGCGCAAATAAGGAACAAATTGTAGCAAATAATTATAGAATAATATGATATAATATGGACGAAATTAATAGACAGAGGAGAAAACAGCCACGCTTGAGAAATGTTTATAATTTTGTTATGTATATAATTTTAAGATGGTATTTAACACAAACTGTTTCTTATGCGCAGATTATAAGTACACGTATAATAATGTACAATTTAAATATGGAAATATTATCAATACTATTAATAATAAACAAAAACAGACAGTTGACTTATATCCAATGTGTTTTATTTCCTGATCGGCAGAATTGTAAGCGTTTTAATCAAATAAAGTAAGTAATTTGGCATATTATTCTTGCAGGAGTTGTTTTTTATATTTGATGATTATAAATATATACATATGTATGTATAGATGTACATATATAAAAGAAATATTTCCTTACTATGGATTTATGACTACTTCATTTATACTTTATCTCTTTCATATATTTGTATTAACTTAACTATGAAACTTATTTATAAATTTTTTTTAGCTCAATTTGTTAGTTTAAATATGTCGATAAACCTAAGATTTACAACACTCAAGCTGCTTATAATTATCCTATTTATTATAGCTTTTTAAAGCTTTTGTGTGTCCTGTAGATATCGATAGCTTCGGCTGATTCCCCTGACTGAAAAGCAATAGCTGAAAGAAGCATATTCAAACTAAGGGACCCATACAATTACGAACTAAATTATTGGAGTGTTGACAATTTATTTAAACCTCCATTAGTGGTTTTTTTAATTTAAATAATAATCGTTGGATCTAGTTCGTATATACAAAATATCGTTCACTGTTAGCTAGTTCCGAAATGTTAATGTTATTAGCACTGTTAAGCAACATTTCTGTTTGGTATTTTTCATAAATAAAAAGTCTTTGCAGCTATATGTGTGTGTGCGCGTCATTTTAGAGCGTGAATTTTCGATTCGGTAAAAAAAAAACGTAAAAAAGCTAATCAATAATATTTATGAATGTTTTAAAAATTGATGCATTTGAAAAAGCACTAAAAATATATGCTCAAATTCGGTAATTAATTGTTTTAAGCTTCAAGCAACGCCGAACGACGTGCGAAAGAAAAATTTTGGTTTCTCTGTGCCAAAGAATTTACACATATGAGTGTATACGCATACACATACACACGTACGTGTGCATACACAAGTATATTTATGTAGATGTGAGGCTGTTGTAAGAAATGTGCAAAATTTTCTAAAACATCCAATATATAAATTGTGTTATAGTAACAGCGGAACACGTTAGCTACTCTATTTAATTGTCGATAATACAGTGGAAGCTGCAAAAGTCAGAGAGCTGCGCGCAGCCAATATACAGTCTTGTGAAACTGTATGCTAAATACAAAAAAAAAAAAGTAAATAAATAGAAAAACAAAAAATAAACATGTTTATGCATGTAGAATTTTGCATACATGTATTTATTAAAAATATAGACTTTCATACATGCATATATATGTATATAAAAGAGCGCGCGTGTATATTCAGAGTGTAAAATATGTACATTAATATGTCCGTGCATACATAGGGACCGCCGCCAACAAACCACACATACATGCGCAACACGCACACAGGCTGTTTCGATGTTTCGTGTTTCTGTTTGTGCGTGTGTGTGTGTGTGCTTGAATGTAATGCGAAAAAGCAACGTAACCGCTGACGACGTCGGCAGCTGGCTTCAGCATCTAGGAGCAGCATCCTTGTTTCTTTTCCTGTAAGCGCGCTCTCTTGTTGCTTTCAGTCTGCAGATGTGGATGTGGATGCTGTTCGACAGCAAACCCCCAATCTTTACCCCACCACCACCATCACCACCCCCAAAATAGCAGCCATAGACTCAGTTTCAACCGCAACAGTCGTAGTCGCAGTCCACATAGTCCCCGCTGTGTATTTTGATCAACTTTTCACTTTTCGATAAGCTATTGTTGTTGCTTCGACAGTTTTTAGTGCGGTGTACATATGTATATTTAATGCAAGCCATAAACAGATTACTATTATCAAATCGACACCGGTGTCAATGAAATATTAGTTACTCCCATACCTTCTAAAATGTTTCTGAAATATACGAAAAAAAAAAAAAAATAAATAAATAAATAAATAATAATCCAAATAATTTTTCACATTCGAATATGTTGTTAAAGTTTAAGTTCTTTAACAATTGTTTGGCTGTGGCAAAGTTATTGTTGTTGTTTTTAGGTATCGCAAAACAGCTGTACATTTGAGGCCCAGACAATTTGATCGCAACAGCTTCCTCTATATATCTACGTGTGTGTGTGTTTGACCAATTCTAGTTTAGAGTTTGAAAGTGCAGACAAACTAAACTAAGCATTCATCTGTTAGAATTCAGGACTTAACAGTGAAGTAACAGTATGTTAGGCATGCTCTCAGCAAAACAGACAGTCCACGTGTGTGCAATAAGCAGCTTACAGTTTATGATTAATATATCGAATATTTATTAAGTGTCAAAATCAACTTTCCTTGAAAATGTAATATTACTCATTTTTAATTCGACTAAACTTATTTGTCAATCGTATTCTTGATTATAACTATAGGCAATTGCTTAGCTGTCTGTCAATAGGTTTACCTTTCCTCCTCATACATCCATAGACTCATGCACACATACATGCATACTATGCAGGTGTGTATTTTAATGTGAAGCCAGACGTCATCAGTAAGCTTAGCTTCCGTTACCGTTGTTGTGTCAGTTTCATGCTCTTGTATGATGCGCTCCACTTTTGGATGCTATTTATAAACGCTTTTATATGTATGTATGCGTGTACTCAGCCCACACACTCACACACAGTCAAAACACATGCGCAAGAATGGATTCTCTGCTGGGAAACAGCTTCCTTAAAATCTGCATACATAGTTCCGCTTCCGTCCAAAATGTCTGTACATGTACACATGTACGTGTGTGTGTGTTTTCAGCGCAGTCGCAGTGTGGCTAGAATATAAAACGGATTGATGATGCCTGTGTGTTTGTGTAATTGCGTCTGTGTATGGGTCACACAATCATTCAACTTACCGGGCAGCATCCACATGTTGAGGCGCGTGCAATTCCCGCTTCATTCCTTTTCTCTCCATACACATACTCACACACATATAAAATTGAATTGAACTGTAGCTCGCACTCAAATCAGAATAAAATACACTTAGGCGAATTCCCCTAATATTGGAAATGAAGCTGCATCGTTAATGAACTGATACGCATATCAGCATGAAAATTCTTTTCTATAATCTTATCGTGGGAGACATTTTTTTGGTTGCCGCCTAAGTGAATCCACTTGAAATAATGAGCAGGAAGCAATTTAATTATTTTTGACTTGATACTCAGCTAAAAAAAAAAACCTTTCAAAATTAAAACCAAAGCAGATAAACTAGTAACAAAATTCAGTTAACTAAAAAAAAAGATTAGAAAGATAATTTACCGCTATGAAGGTTTACTTAGCGATGAATTTTAACGTTTCGATACACAATGCTACAATTAGGGTGAACCAAATAACATCTTAAAGAAGAAATTTCGAGACTTATCTATTCTTGGTTTGTGACGATCAATTCGTTGCTTTCATGCGTATATTTCATTTTTAGTTAGTAAATAGATTACTTTTTAAAATGTTTTATAAAAGAAAGGCTTTTATGGGCTTAAAGGCAATTTAAAAGAAAAAGGGCCACTCAACAATTAGCTGACGTCCTATTGTCAATGTGTGTATTTGACGATTTAATGCTGTTATTGTTTTGCTTGGCAGCTTGTTTGTATTTACGCTAATACACATGTATTGTTTATAAATTTGCATAAGCAGCAGCAGCAGCACATGATGACTTTTCATTTTCTTTTTTGATTTATTTTTATGATCAGTTGTTTCGCCCGTTGCGCTTTCAAGTTGAATGTCACCTGCTATGTTAAATTGGGAGGAGCCGTGCTTTAGTGTGAGGAGCAATTGTTCTGAATGCAAATACAAAGCAATAAAAATCGATATACGATTGCTAGCTTTTGCGGTTAACTTTTCTCATTTATCTCTCACACACATGCGATGCAGCTGATCCATATTAGAGGAGTTCGCAATCGTGCTTCCATTTCCTCTATTATTTTGTTTTATTTTTTGGTTGTTTTTAACGGCTAAATGTTAAATGCTGTGATTCGGGTATTGCTAAATGTGATTATTTTTCTATACTAAATAGGCTGACCGCATTTCAACACCAATTGCACGCCCACACTTGCACTTATGCAGCGTCAATAGCAACAAGAACAAAAACAATAATAACAATAGTACAAGCAGTCGCGGTCAACGCACAACAAAACGAAAGTGTTCTCAACCAAATAAAAATAGTTTTCGAATAAATAAATAAAAGCGTCTCATGCCAGCGTCGTTGACAGTTTTGTAGCCTAAAATGCAATGATACTATAAATGAATTAAATCACATAGCATATATGTACATATGTACAAACATACATAGTATGTATGTGTTTGCATACATACATTTGTATGCTTAAATAAAATGAAAAACACTTTAAAGTTTTTTTTTTTTATCTCCACTCTCTTGCTTATGTTTGTGTGTGTCCGTATGTGTGTATGTATTTGCAGTTAAGAACTGAAAGCCGGCTCAGCGGGAGGTAAATTTTGCGTACTCGTGAAATGTGAGGAAATGCCGCGCCGGCAGCTGCCATATCGATGTCGACAACTTCAACGCCAACAGCAGCAGAAGCAAAAGCAACCAATACTACAAGCAACAAAAAGTATCGCAACCCCCAGCAGCATAATTAAATAATTGCCAACAGATCGATCTCCATCTGATAAATTAAGTGTAAAGTGAAAGAGCGATTGAGTGAAGTGCGCCCGAACAATTAAATATTAACATTGGCAGGCAAATTCATAAAAAGAAGAAGGAAAGAATACAAAACACAATTAAACAAGTTCTTTAATCGAAATATTGCAACCAACCGAATAAGGCGATTTTCAACGTGCAGTAAAAATGAAGCGGCGCAATGCAGATTGTGGCAAATTACGTCGCCCAATGAAGCGGAACAAAATCACAGAGGGCATGTATGGCAGGTAAGTGCTCAAATACCACCAACACATCTTCTCTATTTACGTGTGTATATTACGTATGACGTATTAGAGATGAGCGCGCTTAACGATATGTTCAAAATAATACGAATGAAAATATGAGAACAAGAAAAAAAAGTAAATACACATAGTTACATTAAATGTGTACATTTATTTATTTTTATTATTATTATTTTTTTTTAGAAAATATTTAAGATAACTTTAAGCTTTGAAGCCTCTTTTACATGTATATAAATCTTGTACGTGAGCATTAATATTGCTTCAATTTCAACGCATAAATTATGACATTTGAATATCGTGCTCGTGTCACGCAAACCAAACATGAAGCGTGCCCAACTCTTATATGTACATATATGTATATACATATATATGTACGCATACATACATATCTATCCAGTTTATCGCGCTGATTCGCATACCGCACTGATCGCGTAATACATAATTCTAGATATGGTTGGTTCATAACAAAACTTGTATTAACCTGCGCAACGTCAAATTAATTTATAAAAAAGAAAATCAAATTTTTACTTTTATTATTTTGATAGAAAAATATTAATATATTGATTGAAAATAAATTATTGCATTGGAGTATGATTTAATGCAAATTATATTGTATTTGAAAAAAGAAAAGAAATCACATTCATATTAATTTTTATGCGTTACGATTTAACATTGATTAATAGCTTTGATATTGATAAATTAATTACAGAGTTATTAGAGTTCACATAAAATATATAATGCATTTTAGCAAGCTATATTATATTAAATAGAAAATAACAAACAAATCACATTAATTTATTTAGCATAGCTATAAAAATAAATAGAAATTTTTAGTCAGGGTCGGTTAATTGGCGGACATATCAGTTTGGCTAATTATAAGAAAGAGTTCTTAACTCTGCTTCTTCTTCTTATTTGGTGAATGCTCTGCTGAATGTCTCAATGCTGACAGAGTTCAGCACTCAGAGATTGTCACGTTGTTTCTGATTTTATTACGCATTTATTTGTTTGTTTACATTTTGATTTTGAATTTTATTGTTATTTATTTTTAAATACAACGATATACATATATACATGTTTATAGTCATATGTATGTGTGTTATTTTCGAAGTGATTGAGTTAGATAATTTATTCAGCGCTTGTTGTTTGATTGTGTTTGAAAGCTATAATTGAGCATAAAATTCGAATCCTAATCAAATTATTGATGAATCTATTAATCAAATATGGGCTAGATTGTTTTGATCATATATGTATAAAAGCTTAAAATTATAGCATCTCGTAATCATTTTAAATTTATATTTTAATTTTTTCAGCACAACTGTTCTATACATGAAATTTCTAATACTTTGGGCCATTGTGATGGTGGCCGACTTCATGTTTATGTTCCGATTTGAATTCCTCTGGCCATTCTGGCTGCTGCTGCGCTCCGTGCATGACTCCTTTAAGTACAAGGGCTTGGTAAATACACAATAAATTGTACAATAATAAATAGTATAATATATATTTCTTATACTTTTTGTGCTCCAGGCATTTTCTGTGCTATTCGTGTGCATTGCAATAACTTCGGATCTGGTGTGCTTGTTCTTCATACCCGTACATTGGCTGCTCTTTGCGGCCAGCACGTACGTCTGGGTGCAGTACGTCTGGCATACAGGTGCGTCTCATCATCATCATCATCATCGCATTAATAACAATAATAATAATATTTATTTATGATCTTTTTTCGCCTTATCTAATTGCAGATAAGGGCATCTGTTTGCCAACTATTATATTGTGGATGTTGTTTGTCTACCTGGAGGTGGGCATACGATGGAAAGACAGTCGTCATATGCCACATCTGGACCTATGCCGGCCGTTCGCCGCGCACTGGTGAGTGATCACAAATGGTTTGCCATGTTCCCACTCTAGAACTTATTCCTATTCTTCTTCAGCATTGGCTATCCAGTGGTTACGCTTGGCTTTGGCTTCAAAAGCTACGTGGGCTATCGTATGCGGCAGCGTAAACAGCGCGAGGTTGCTAAAGAGAATGAGTTCTATATGCAGCTGTTGCAGCAGGCACTGCCCGCCGAGGAGGCTACCGATGAGGCACAAATAGCGGGCGCGACAGCGGTAACTGTTGCCTCCAATGGAGCTGTGGTTGTACCCAATGGCACGGGCGGTGCGCCGGCAGCGCTCACCACATCGGCCTCGACCCAGGCCAATGGTGTTTTGGTAACTGCAACTCAAGCACAAAATCATCACGAGCATCATCACAGCGCTGGCAGTGGTGGCGGTGGCGGCGGCGGCGGAAGTGGCAGTGGCAGCGGCTCCGGCAGCAATGCTAGCAATAGCAATCATCATCATCATCACCATCACAACAACAATAATAATAATAACAACAACAACAGTAGCAGCAGCAGCAGCAACAATCATCACACCAAGGATAACACAACTAGCGAGAGCAGCACAGCGAGTGGGGCAACGGCATCGGCAGGAGCCGCTGGTGCTGCAGCCGCAACATCGTCCGCATCTTCGTCAGCGTCCACAAACACATCAGCCTCTGCGACAGCCAGGCAATCAAATTCAGCAGCATTAGCAGCAGCAACAACAACAGGTGCTGAGCATTAACTACTAGCATTAGATTATATTCAGCAAACAACATTCCCATAAAGTGTCCAACTTGCATGTGGTTAGAATTTTGTGTATGTAATCAGTAGCTATCGAAGCTTCGTAGTCTCCTGGCAACCACACGAAATTTTTATATATATTCATTCATATGAATCATTGTAACCATAAGCGATAAAAATCAATCATGTTTATGTAAATATGAAACTAAATGTGTAACTATATTTGCAGCAACCGCAAATGGTCATGTTGGCGGTGGCTCGCGCAATCATCGGCGTAGCATGGACAAGGACAAGCATCGCAACAAGAGCGATGCAGGCGACAATGAGCACAACAATGGCACGCGGCATGGCGGCAAAAATGGCAGCAGCAACAGTAATAGCAACAGCTATCAGCAAGTTGATGGCAATGCAACTACAAGTAATAACAGTAAGGAGAAGTCAGACTGGGATAGTGGCAATAGCAACTATCAACAACAACAACAACAACCGCAGCAACAGCAGCAGCAGCAGCAACAACAACAACAGCAACAGGGGGCAAAGGACAAACAGGGTGCATTGAACAAAAAGAAAACGCTTAATTCGAAGCAAATTGATATCGCCCCCTTGCTTGCAGACAAAAAGACGCACAATGCTGTCAGCAATGGCAATGTCCTGCAGTTCGAAACAGATGAGGCACCGATCGTGGAATCAGTGCCTCAGGTGGAGAAGGCGCCTAAAGGTAAGTGCTAAGCATTGGCTTACCCAATCTCTGATCTTGTAATCCAATATTCTTTTCGTTCCGCAGGCCGTCGAAATCGTGGTAAGAAGGATAATTCAGCCAAAGACAATCATAGCCAGCAGCTGGCGCAACAAAAGGAGGCAGCAGCAACTGCTGCACCTGCTGCCGCGGCAACTGCTGCCAGTAACAGTAACAACAACAACAGTAACAACAACAATAACAATGATGCCAGCTCCGTTTCGTCGTCGACCAGCTCGTCGTCGAGCAATGCCGCCGCTGCCGCCATCTCGCACATTGCCAGCAAAGTTGTATCGAAGATATGCGAAACATGTATTAAGCTGGAGGCAGATGTTAAGAAATATCGTGCCGAAATTAGCCACATGAAGCAAATCGAGAACGAGCTGCGCCAGAAACTGGACGTCAATCTGACCAGTAAATCCAGTTTGCAGGCCAAGCAGAAGGAGTGCGACGAGCTGGAGAAGCGCATACAGGAGCTGACCAATGCACGCCATGCCGACATGCTCAGTTTGCAGGCTGTGGAACGTCGCCTAAACGAGGAACGCCGCCAAAAGCAATCTCTTGACGCCCAGCTGGCCAATGAGAAAAAGGCACGCAAAGCTGCCGAGGAGAAGGCAGCACGGCCAGAGTGCAGCGCCCAGTGCAAGCAGCGTCGCCAGCAAATGGAGGAAGAGTTGAAACGCGTGCGCAACGAGCTCAAGCAGACCGAAGGCGCCATGCAGGTGGCCGTGGATCATGGCCGCAAATTCGAGCAGGAGGTGGGTGGAACAACAAATACCTAATTGGTTAAATATAATAATTAAACTCTATTCTGTTAACAGTATCACATGCTGGAACTGAAGGTGCAAAATCGCGAGTCCACGCAAGCGGATGCTGAGATGCTGATGAATGCGCTGGCTACCATGCAGGAGAAGAACACAACCCTGGAGAAGAATCTATCCGCAGAGACGAGAGTTAAGCTGGACTTGTTCTCGGCTCTGGGCGTGGCAAAGCGACGGCTAGAAATAGCTGACAGTATGTATAGCTAGGGGAATGGCAGAGGAACGCAAATGTGTAATGAACAAACTTTTTTGGGTTGCAGGTCAACGTCGGTCCAAGGAGGATGAGGTCATTGATCTCAAGGCCAAGATAGCCCAGCTGCTGGCTGTAATGCCGGACACGCTGTGCCTGAACACGGGGCCGCATGGTAGCGGAAGCATGCTGCGCATGAACGATACACCTCCGCTACAATCGGGCGGACCGGGCCCGTCCTCGCCCATGCTCAGCCTGGGCGTCGCGCAAGATTATCAACAGCATCAACATCAGCAACATCAACAGCACCAGCAGCACCAGCAGCATCAGCAGCTACAGCAGCAGCACCAACAACACCAGCAACAGCAGCATCAACAGCACCAGCAGCATCAACTCCAGCAACAGCAACAGGTTGTGCCCGTTTCACAGCAGCAGCAGCAACAGCAAATGGTGCCGGTCAGTGTGGCTGCAGCGCTGCATGTGGTGGCCGGCAATGTGGTCAACGGTGGTGGTGGCGGCGGTGGTCTCTCGACGCTGGATCCAAATGCCAGCGTCTATACGCCCAAAACCGGCAACATGATGGTGGTGCCGCCGGTGAATATGAATCCCAATGGTGCGGATGCCTGACGCCAGCAGCATCAACAGCACCAGCAGCACTCATCGACGTTATCGTCGGTGAGTGCATCATCCTCGCATCAGCTACTGAGACGACAAGTATGAGATTATTATAATTTATATGAAACGTAACTGCAAACAGCATCAACATCAGCATCTGCATCAGCATCAGCAACGGCATCCGATAGATTTGGACTAGAGTAGTCGATAGATGACAAACGGCAAGTGGCAAATGGAAGGCAGTTTGAATATGATATAATGAATGTCCGTACTCTAAGCATAAGCAGTTTCCTTTAACGAACCCCCCACACAACTACAACAGTATCACAACTCAATGTACACCCCATTATCAATTATCAATTTCCATAACTCAGAATTGTAGCCAAGATACATTTCGCAACGGCAGTTAGTTGATTGTTTTCTAAATTCCATGAATATTACCCAATTATATATGCTTTTATTTTTTGACCCATCTCAAAATGACCACAAATGTCATACAACTTAATTAAACTAGAATCCAAATATTTTTGGGATATATTTAAAACGAAATGAAATGGAAATTGTATTCCTAATGTTCGCAACCAGTTCCAGTTGTCAACTACCTTATTTAATCCACCCAAACTTCGCTCATGGAAAAACATTAACACAACACTCATTCACTCATACTCATTCATTCATTTACACTCATTTGGCAGACTCGTTGCGCGAGTTCTTGATTGATTTAAACACATTTAAGAAATAAGATGAGTAAACGCGAAAGATAAAGAAACACTAAAAATTAAAATATTAATTTGTAATTGAAAATGCGAACGAATAGATAGAAATGAAGAAAAGAAAGATCTGTTTACTACTTACTTTACGAAACGCTGTGAGAGTTGACCAACTTTTAGTGATGGCTTTTGGAATTTGGCGTGATTTATGCTTTTTAGCCAAATTGTATGCCCTCTTTCAATGGAATTTTTGAAGTCTGCGCCCTTGATTTATTATCTCATTAAATTATTTTTGTTATAAACTTTAATTGTACGCCTATTATGTAGAATTTAACTATTTTGAAAAACAAAACAAACAAAATACCAACAAATTTCTTTTTAAGTTTTAATTTATTTGTTGCTCTTCCTAAAACAAAAAGAAAAAATATAACAAAAAAAAAAAAAAAACAAACAAATAAAAAAGCAAGTTGAAAATGCTTGAATTTAAATGCGAAGAAAACGAAAAACGAGAACTATTTTGTTTAATAATAATAATAAAAAAATAAAAAAAACAAACAAAAAAAAACATATAAAGCTTGAAGCTAGTAAATATTTGTTTTTAATTTATGTTAGCTTTTTAGTTGATTTCTAATTTCTCTATTTTTAAGATCTCAATATATATGTATATATTTCTATCAACTGAGTAGCCCGCCGTGGATTAGCCTAAAAGTCAGTGTCAAGCCAAAGCAACTCCAGTCTAAAGTCAGACTAACGAATCCAGTTTCCATATTCAAAATGTTATACTATATGCTGCAGGCGGTTTCAACGGCCATTTTTGCCACATTTGCCACGCTATGGCTGATCGAAGGTAAGTAAGGCTTTGTCCCAGCCCACTCCAACTTGATAGTCCATTCCGCAGAGAGTCTGATCAACCTGATGATGTCCACGTTTCTGTTGGTGCTGCGCATTGCCTGCCATCCGCTGATGGTGTTGCCCACAATCTTTGGAGTCTACTATCTGATACGCAAGGTGTGGCTGCGACGCCGCCAGCTGGGCGATGGTGAGGCAATCCAATCCACGGGGCGGCGTCCCAGCTATCGCTCGCCACGAATCGGATCTTTCCGCAGCATGGGCAGCACATCGTCGCGCAGCAATGATAGCTGTGATTACGAAGACGACGAGATCCGTGGCTTGGAGAGATCGTAGCTTTGTTATAGGCTTAATTTTAGTTTGTTTCAAATTAATGAAGTGAAGTCTTTGGTTTGATTTACTAGATTTACTCTTACAAATGCAGACACAAACTACACTGACGCGAACGAACATATTTATATGTATGTGTATAAAATTGTACTTAAAACTAATACAGAGGCCTCCCCGCCTCGCTGAGTCCCGCCCCGATTCGTTGATGTTTTCATGGTTTCTGTAGGGATGACGTATCCATTTTGCACAATAGATCCGCCACCTTCAGCAGCATGGCATTGTTCTGCTGGTCGGAGGCAGTTGAGCTGCTGCTGATCATTTCGGCCAGGTGATGTATGTACTTATCCACGCTGTCCACGTTTAGTCCGCCGGGATGCACGGCTGGCAGCGTAACGCCACTCAGCGTCGCGACTAGTTTCTGCCGCAGATTCTTTGTATATGTAGCGAGACGTGCATTCTCCTCCTTCAGCTCAGACACTTCGGCCATGATTTTCGCATGTCCGGCCTTTGTGTTATCCACATGCTGTTCCAGCACGGCATTCTGCTGCTCCAGATCGGTTTTGGTCTTGCGCAGGGTGCGCAGCTCATTCTCTGTGCTGCGATTGTGCTCGATGAACTCGTTCGTGTAGATGGGTATTTCGCCTGCTATGCACGGACGCTGGGCCGCAGGGGCGCAGGAGTTGAGTGCGGGCGGAGTCGGTGTACGCTTCACTTGAGCTAGCGGTATATCATCCGGGTCCGGTGTTGGTGTACTCAGCTGCTGCTGCTGCTGCTGCTTGTTCACTCCTGCACTGTGCTTAACAATAGTTTTCTTTGCGCCAGCAGCAGCGGTGACTGTGGCACTGCTATTGGCTCCGTCAATGCCGCTGCCGCTGCTGCTGTTGCTGTTAGTTGCCTTCTCCTTGGGTGTGCTGGCATTTTTGTTATCGAATACCTTCTTTGCTTTGGCCAATTCGGTTGCCACTATTTCGGGATGCTCCTTCAGGAACTTGTGCATTTGTTCCTGATATCTGAAATTTTTAAAACATTGTATGAGTGATGGATGATATACATATTGTGTGAGAATGTGTATGTATTCAAATAACTTCTCGTATTCAATTTACAATGCCTTATCCTTGGCTGCAGCCTCCAGATATGGTGCCTTTCGTTCATCCGTCAGCTGGTGCCACTCCTCGCCAATCATTTTCGTGTGCTCCAAGGCGGTGCGATTTGGGTGCTCGCGGCGCAGCTGCTCCCTGCGATCATTCATGAATCTCACATACGAGTTCAGTGGCATTTTCGGTGCTCCAGCCACATTGATACGTCGTTGGGTGAGCTTCTTCAGCTCCGTGTCCAGATCGTTGCCAGTCACAGCATTTCGTGCTTTTCCTTTCTTTTTCTTTGTTACTTTGCCGGCGCCGACGACGCTGCCGCCGCCGGGTGAGATATTCAGATGGCTTTCATCTTCCGCATTTACTGATTTGGCAGGCATTGCAGCTGCTTGCCCTTCCCCTGTTGCATCTAAATTTTCTGCCACCTCCTGGTTTATTGCACTTTTGTTTTCTTCTTTGCTATCCATAATTTATCAATTTGCACTTATTTTTTATTCTTGTTTATATTTTATCGATAGTTATCCAACTGCAACTTTGCGCTTTGTTTACTTATGAGGTTTTTGTTTTGTGCAAGCGTTCTTTTGTAAATATTTACTTAATTTTTTTTGTTGGACAAAAATAAAAACAAATTGCAAACTGAGAGATTAATTTCTGCTCTCTTAGAATATCGCATATTTTGCTGTTATACGAAAAGTGTTATACAAGAACAGCTGTTGCCTCAAAGACAGGGGTGTGCAGCTTTTAATAATTTTCACATATATGAAGAAATATATATATTTAACTTTTATATGTCGTATGATCAACTATTTTATTTTAATTTAATTTATTGTGAATTGGCGTTTTAAATTCCTATGCATTTAAATACTTAGCTGTCATTTGCGTTACATTTCGGATACTGGCGCACTATGGCAACTCTGTGTTGACGCACTTCTACATTTACACAGTGACGTCATCAAAATGTGGCGCGATTTTGATTATCGGCTTATGAAAAAACTGCGTACTTTGGATAATCATATATAACCAGCAGAATATATAATACTATATAATATTATAATATATGGGCCAATAATCCATTCATATATGTGCATGTATAAATCCTATTCACAGATAATTTTCAAATAAAAATTCAATTCTTTCCGTTGTGGTTTTTTCTATATTTTGAATATTCATATACACTTGTGGTCTGCATGGTCTTGGATAATTGTTTGAGCACGATACAATTACAAAATATATAATTAGCCTACTTGAATAACAGGTGTTAAATATAAATAGAAACTTACAAACAAGCTTAGCATTTTATCAATATCGATGATAAATTCTGTACAATTTAAGCAGCTACAACTGCGAGTGTATACTATATATATTAAATTTGTATATATATGTGTAGATTACGAGCTAAAACTTAATAATGAAGGCGGCCAGCCACATATAAAATTCAACATAAATTAACAATGTTAAGAGAGATATAGGTAAAAAGAGAATTGGCTGATCGAATGGGATTTTCAATTTGAAAAATGAACAATTAAGCCTCTCATGTGAGTTGCAGTTAAATTAAACTGGGAAATAGTTCATCGAAATTACTTTCCCAGGGAAATTCGTCATCCTCGGTGTGCATCGGAATGTCACTATCCAAATGCGACAGAGTCGTCGACGCTGGGGAGCCAATCACCGACTCATAGCCATGATCCGATGTGGCCGAATGCATAGAGAGTGCAGGTGATTTGGCTAGCGGTGAGATGGCTTTGACCCGCGGACACAGGAACTGCTCAATGGGCTCGAAATTTAGATGGCTGGTCGCTTCATCGTCCGAATCATCGGTGGCGTTGATCACATTGAGGTAGACCTGTGAGGGCGACGTTGCTGGCAACGGGCACTTCATGATCGCATCTGTGGTGTTCTCATCGCCAGCAGTGACGCCCTCACCGTAGATTACCTCAACGGCCTCATTCACTGGCACTGCATCGCCGTCCATGACAATGGTGATGGAATTCGTCTTAGCATCGTATGTGCCATATACCGTATCCGGTGTGGCACTCTGCAGGAATGCAGCTGCTGAAATTGTCTTCGTTGTTGTTGTTGTTGGTATTGATGTTGCTGTTGCTTTCTTTTGTATGTTTCCATTTATCGTTGACACCTGCATAGGCAATCTGCTGGTGTTATTGATGTTGTTGATGTTGTCCATGTTGTGGGTGCTCGTAACGGGTTGCGCTTTGGTATGATCATTTAGGCCATCAGCTCTATGCCCGCCGGATTCCATGCACTCTGCTGCGGTCCCCACCATTGATCCAGGCAATCGCTCTGAGTCGCCTGCATCTTTGGCAGCAGCTTGGTGGCATGTGCCACCGCCTGCTTCCAGGTCTGCTGTGATATCTGCGAGGAGACTCTCGGCCAGCTCTTCAAGTCGTCGCGCATCGAACTCTTCGTCGTCGACGAGCAGCATGTCTTGTATAGAAGGCAGAGCGCCACAATTCTCCAAAGTGAGGCCGTTGTGTTGCTCTGCTTCAGCTGCTGTTGCAACATTCGTGATGTCATCAAGGCACGCGCTGACGACTGTGTGTCCACTTGTGTACCCTGCTGCAGAGGGTCAGCATTGGATGCTGCAGATCCAGTGAGTGTGGGCACACAGCCCTCAGCGCTTGCATTGATGTCAGCTATGTTGCTGTGGCTGCTGTTGTTGTTGTTGTTATTATAATTTTTGGCATGCTGCTTCATTTCGGCAAGTTCTTGACGCAACTCTTCCATTTCCGCGTCGAGCTTCTGATTCTTGGCCATCAGCGATTCGTTGATACTCTGTAGGCTCTCGCATTTGTTTTGCAATATTTCCGTTTTCTCAGTAAGTTCCTTGATTTCGAATTCCATTTCCTCCATGCGCGCCTTCTTCCTGTCGCGGCTGGTTTGCGCAGCTACGCGATTCTTTAGTTTCCTATAAGGTAGATGACACTTGAGTGAAGGTTTCTTTAATTGATATTTCTGTTTAACTTACTTTCTCTGCACCTTCTCCTCCCATGACAAATGATCTAGACGGCGCTTTTTGGCCTTTGTCGGCCCCGCCGGACTTGAAGCCATCGATGCGGGCTCCTCGTCCGCAACACTGTTCGATGAGGATGAATAGCCCGAGCTGGATGGCGACGACCCGCCCTTTAGCAGCACCGCAGTGGCTGACAAGGGTGCGGGTCGCAGCTTGGGCAATGTGTTTAAACTCAAATTAGAGCCAAGTGGCACACACTTGGACAGGAGCACTGGTGCCATAGTGTGTTTCTATTTTTTATTGTTGTTGTATGTGTTGTGGTTGCAATTAATAATTGATAGCAATGCAATATGAATTGCAAATTAAATTTTCATTTTTAATTGTAGCTCTAGATTGGGCGTGATATCTGTGCGAGCACTGAATTTTATCTGATTTGATACACCCGGAATTAATTCATTGGTAGCGTTGCTTTTACTTTTGCTGCTTCAGCTGCGCTTTTCGAATAAGTCGTCTGTTTGGATTTCTTCATTGCCCAGGTTTACTCAGCCCGATCTCACGTAATTTTCCTCAATCTACTTGCAATTCTGCGCACCCAAAACGTTTCGCAAAGATGTCGTGGACTTTTCTGAATGGGTTGTCGTAAAAAGCTGACGTGGCTATTTCTCGTTGGTTCGATGAAAAGAACGAGTTGAAAGAAGCAGAGATTGACAAACAAAATGTTATTTAACATAAGTCGTTAGCATTGACATGTTATGCTATTAACAGTAGCACTGCTCAAAAATGCGCACAACTTACATTAACAAACACCAAATTACATTGCGAAGCAAATTTCTCATTTTATATTATAAATTATAAACATTAATTTGGATTACATATAATTTTTATCCAAGACTGAATGTTACATCTGTTTTATACCTTTATATACTAGAGTCCAAACATTTGAGGCATCGGTGAACGCTCCTTTTTCTTTTCTTTCTCATTGGCAGCGAGCTCCTCCCTTATTACATCGGCGACATCGTATATTGTGGTTTTGTGCTTGAAAAATAAAAATAAATATTTTACACTTTATTGTTATAGACTTATTTACCTTTAGCTGATTTATATAGAATAGGTATGGTATATTCCCTGTGATCGGATCTATTGCCACTGGCCACATATTGGCCAATTCAGCTTTTGAGAATTTCTCGGCTTCCTCCTCCATTAGTTTTCCAAAGTATTCTTTAGTGAGAAATCGTTTATTTTCAGGATCCAAAGTTTCGAATGCTTTTAACAGTTTCTCCGGGCTTGCGGGTTCCATTCTGTAATATATGTATTTGTAATCAATCATATTCAATTTATTTCAATTCAACCAAACCCTTACTTCCGATTCATAAGCAATACGGAAACATGAGCCATAAATTTTGGCAAGTGCGTTTCACCTGGATTTTCCACGGATTCAGTTGCTGCAATAATCTCGTTTATTTCCTTTTCCGAAGGAACACAGCCCAAAAATCGTAGCACATTTCCCACATTTCGTGTGTCGATGTATTTATCGCCGTGATGGTCAAATATGCAGAATGCTTCTGATATACGAACTTCCAGTTCATTTGTAAGTGGGACTGACAATGGCTGTTAATTATCTGGACGGCATAATATACAGAATCTGCAACTTACTGCCGACTTCCATATTATACGGTTAATTTGTGAATAATAAAATAATTTCTTTGATTATACAGTTAATTTAGCATTAAAAAATGAATGTAAAAGATTGCTAAGAAGTTTATTGCACTCCTACGCCTTATTCCAAGTAAAAATATAATGAAATATATATTTTATATTTCTTACATGCTTGCTTTGTTTTCCGTTACATATTTTTGAAAAAAAAAAAAAAAAAAAAAAAAATCGCATTGCCTGATGCAGGCTATTTTCAGAGACTGTAAACGACTAATTCTGTGTGAATGGCCACGAATAAGCGTAAGTGTATCGATACATTGAATAAACCAGCTGCAATCGTATGTGAATGTTTGTTAAATTACTGATGCCGCCGTGGTTGTTTCAAATGTACAAGTACATATTTCTTAATGTAAAATAAATGGGTGAAGACATACTATACGTATCGATTCCATTATTTTATAATATTTCTATTCAGTGTGAACTGATTTCATTTCACTCAAGTTATTAATTTGGTGATTTTATCTGTGTTAGTGCGCGAGCGTTTTGTTGAGCAACAGGTATACGCGCAGCGAGTATCGATTGTACTTGAAGCAAAATATCGTTTAGTTGTAATTGAGATTTCATTTGATTCGGTTGAGCCGCGCGTGTGCTTACTCTTGACAGATTTCCAGCGGGAAAAAAATAAATCGTAGTGTGATCCAAAATACACATTGCCCTTTTGTATTTGTTTAACAGTTATATAAAAAAAATGTGCGAATTGGATAAAGTCATAGCAAGTCACGACTAGTTTCTACCACAAGCAACTATGTTCGGCGCAGGTGCAACGCGTTTCTTTAGCGTGTGAGTGTTTTTTTTAAAGGTACCAAAGCAATAACAAGTTCAAGCATATCCATAATATCGTCTTACAAAAAGTTGTGTGTGTGAGTGCCTGTGTGTCTGATGCTGTGGTAGTGTGTGTGTTGCGCAGTTTTGAAAACGCGTTTGCGGTTTTTCTCGCTCCGAAATGGAAAGTGCCAGCCGCTTGGCTGCTCCTGCGTTTGTTGTGATACAGCCGATCACATTATTGATCGATTGTCGATCAATCTAAACAGAAATCGAATCACAAACAAAGAGGTGCGAAAAATGAAAGTGTTTATTATTGTTGCTGGATCTCTACAAATATTGGAAATTGTTTACCTTACGGCCAACTTTGCCACATTCCAGAGCTGGAAGCCGTGTATCATAGAAAGTAGATTAGATATGTGATCGAAAAACTGGTATTACACTACTTTTACCTTGAACTTGAAGTTTTTACCCACACACACATACATACACACACTACTAAGCATAATTGCGGAAAATTTCAAACGCGCACAATTAGCAAAAAGCAAAGCAAGAAGAAATTGTGCAAAACTTTTTGACATGTCAACATGAAAACACCTAACGTGATTTAAACAAAGAAAAAGTAAAAGACAATTATAATTAAAAAAAAACAGCGTTAATGGTGAAATTTAGCCGTGAAGTGAAATTATTGCCGCTTTAAAGTAACTGCAACTGCAACTGGCACCCTCTTCACCCTTCATCTATCTCTTTCTATCTCTCTGTGGTCGCTACGTGCGCTTTTCGCCTTTTCGTGGTTGTTGTTGTTTATAGAGTTTTTTGTCGACAGGTGGCGGTGCAACGTGCAACGCCAGCGATCCACATAGAGAGCGTGCCGACTCTTGACCGCAGGCTATGCCACAACGCTGCGCGTTTCGCGGCATAAACGACTCGTTTTCCCAGTGCATTGTTGTCGCTTAGCCCATCCTGCGCGTCTGCGTCCCGTGGCAAGTGCAGATGCCAACCAAACACACACACACATACTGAAGTATGTGTAGTGCATATGTATGTGTGTGTATGCTTATGTGGGGGTTACCTTTGCCTTTGCTCCGCTTGTTGTTGCTGTTGTTGTTTGTGGCATCAAGTCTGACTGGTCGATCTGGTGGCATGGTCTCAAAACTTGTTTCTCCATCTTTCTTGTTGTTGTTTTGTTCTCTTTGTTTTTGTTGTTGCTGCTGCTGCTGCTGGCATTCTTAGCTGGTGATTGTTGCCGCAGCTCCCTATATAGAGGACCGCCTTAACATGTGTCTGTGTGTGTGTGTGTATGACTGTGTTCTTGTTTTTTTTTTTTTTTTATTATTGGAGTAAATTTTTCGCTTGAGGAATTTAATGTTATTGCCGTGCTTCTTGCCCCTTTTTTCGCACAGTTAATTTTCTTTTTACTCATGCCCGCATCCGAGCTCATAATTTTTTATTTTTTCATTTTTTATGATGAGTCAACGTTTTTTTTTTTATGAAAATAAATTTAAATTTATTTGTATGCAAATGATTTTTATAGTTAATAGTACATAAACTTGAATTTAAATAAACGTGAGCTTAAGGCAGTTTAATTTAATAAAAATAAAATTTAAAACAACTACAAAAATTCTCCTAAAAGTAATAAGATTTATATAACTGCTATAATTGAAACCTGCAAAGGTACTTCCTAAAGTTTTTAGTTGTATAGGAAGCTCAAATTATATACTTCATATAACTTATAGTTTATTTACTTCCATGTGTTAATAGAGGGTGCATTTGGTTAATATGCATATTATTCCTCTTAAGAATCTATCAATAAAAAAATATTTGTTGTATAATTGAAATACATATTATAAAATAGATACTATTCTCATATATTAGATTCCAGGTCTATAACAATTGAATACTGAGTATCGTTTAGTGCGTTTCTCTCTCTTTCTCCCTTTCCCTTTCTCACTTGCATCCAGTGTGACTTATCTCATTTCTCTTCAGTTTTAGGCAACGTTTTCTCAATGCACGTTAGATAATGCGCGGATGATGTCAAATGTGCTCGATGAATAACTAACGTCCAATGACATTGTGAACACGCGATAATAATTAGCAAAAAACTAGAGAAAACACTTCATAAATTATATACGAATCAAATAAATATAAAATTATTAAACTCGCAATGGCAAACAGATAGTCGAGGCTGAGGGGCAAACAAGTTTATTAACGACGACAGCAACCTGAGAAAAAGAAGAAGATGCCAATAATAACAGCGACTACAACAACGACGTCGACGGGGGCAGCAGCGGTGGCTGCGGGTGGCGGCGGTGCGGGATCAGCAGGCGCAGCGGCTAAATCTGCTGCTTTGTTGGCTAAGGCAATGCCAGGCAGTTCAGCAGCGGCGCCAGCAGCGAGCGATTACCTAATGCACCAACACCAACAACAACAGCAACAGCAGCAGCAACAGCAACCACAGCCACAGCAGCAGCAGCAGCAGTTCAACAGCCATTACTATCAACAGCAGCAACAGTTGGCGCCGGCGTCGGTTGTGCTAAATGCTTCCCACCAGCATTCACATCCACACTCGCATCCACATCCTGTTGTCAGCTCAGCAGCAGGCGCGACAACGGTAGCAGCAGCTGGCGCTGCTGGAGCAATCGCGTCCAGCGTTGCAGCAACCAGTTTTGCAACATTTAACGGAAACTCAAGTCTAAATTCTAACCTTGCCAACGGAAGTAGTAGCCGGGCTAACCATGTCAAGAAATTCAATTGCAACGATTCCAGCGGCACGGATCTAGCTGCTGTTGGCAACGGCGACAGCAACAGTTATGCAATGGCTGGCATGCACAAGCCAGCAACAGCAGGCGCAACAACAACAACACCAGCAACAGCAACCGCTTCAGCAGCAATTGCTGGTCCACCTCTGGGCTTGCCGCCTCCTGCTATTAAGAAGTCTACGTCCGCATCGCTGCACGCTTCGCGGGAAGATGTTGCCTCGCTGGGCGGCACCTCCTCGCTGAACAGCCAGGTCTCTGGCCACCATCAGCCGCAGTTCATCGGTAACGGGACAGTCAATGGCAATGCAACCAGCGGACGCCCAGTCGGACATCCCAGCAGCATCCTGAAAGGCAGCAAAGGTAAGTGCAAATTAACAGAGTTTGGCTGAGCGAATTAGGGAATTAGTTAGCTGCCATCTGATTGGAGAGTTTTCCAATTTAGAGAAAGCCAATTACTTACAATTACTTGCTAGATAAATCTGCTAAGTTTAATTAACTTGCTTATGATAGAAATCAAACTATAATAGGAAATATTTGGAATTGGATTCAATGTTCATGATAGTGATCCCATTGTAATTAGAAACATTTCGACTTTTTCACTATGCCAAAGGCAAGCTTTTCTTTTGTGAAAAGAATTTAAAAGCATTTAAGAGAATTAAGGATACATATTCTACTTTTCTGTGGCATCTGACCAATAGTTTAATCCAGCTAATTCTGTGTATAAATAAATATATAGTATAGCTAGTCATAGGAATACAGAACAATGTTGCATAATGAAAGCTGAGAGATCAATTGGCATAGAAACAGACAAAGACCGACGCGGCTCTTCAAATTGATTAATCTGCGTGTATATATATAAATACTGTGCATAGTATATTTATGTATAATTTATGGCATTGCAAACGTTTCTCACTCCCTAGATACTTGTGACAAATTGTCTACTATAAAGTTCGATAAGTAAGAGTTTTTTAAGCTTAAGAGCCCAACTAGAAAATACCCTGACTTTCACATATAAATAGTCTACTTTAACTATATCTCTAGCTAGTCATTTCTTGAACGTCTGAAGGCCTTATTCAAGGCAAAAGTTGGTCAAAGTGAATTGCATTTTTGACCATTTGCATAGAGCAATTGCTCTACATTGAAATTAATAAAAATTAGTTTCGAAAATGAATGTATGACCTTTTGGATAGGCTAAATGAAAGCATTTAAATACAAATTTTGGTAACTCTAAGAAATACCCAAATAAATTAAACAATTTCTTATGTAATACGAAAAAACAAATAATTTTAGACTATTGGAACAACAAGAGTAGAAGTTTAGCCCTTATAGGAATTAAGCTCATATATCTAAGATAATATTTACTAAATGGGCTGGGTTCATTAACACATACATTTTCCCCTTGCATAAAATAAAATTCTCACTTTCAAAGGCAGCTAAAAGTGAGACTACATAGATAGAGCTGGCTTGATATATCAATTAGCCTTAATATAATCTGACAAGTTTAAACAAACACACATTAATTAGCAGCCAATTTGCATCCATTTTAATTAGAACTTGTGTTTTGTTGGCTAATGTAGAATTCTATGTACTTCTAAAAAACATGTCAATGCTGTTCCCATTCGGGCGCAAGATTAGTTGACTTACGATCTGCAACTGGAGGCTTTGAATGAATGATTAAACTGTGTTCATGTGTGTGTGTGTGTGTGTGTTTTTAGGGCAAAGCAGCTCCAAGAGCAAATTGAGGTCAGTTTGCTCAAAGTTGTTGAAAAAGAGAAACACCACAGGCTGTCCAGGCAATCAGGCTGAGGCATTTATCCCGCCCACATGGCCGACATGAGTAGTTTACCCACACTTGAATATGTGTGCTCCGGTTTGTTTGTTTTTCAGTTTCAGTTTCAGTTTTGGTTTCGGTTGCACTTGCAATTGCTTTAATTAGCTGCTTCTCATGATGTAGACAAAATTATGTGTAAGTCTTCAGTGCACAGCGGGGCTGAAGAGTTCAATTGATTTGCTTGTGCTTTGTGCTCTTTGCTGTCTAAACAGACACGTGCCAATTGTTTACACCTGAGCTGCTTGGGCCCAAGTGAAAAGAGTTAAGACAATGGATTCGTTTGTAAGTTGAACCCGTTTCTCACTTCTGCTTGTGGGTCTTCGGGCTCTACCAAGACTCTGAACGGGCCAACAAGCCAAACAGGTGACGTTCAAGAGTTTTCGTTTTACCCCACTTCGTGGCTCCGTTTCTTTATACTTGTTCAGCAAGTGTATAAAGAGTATATTGGCTTGGGTAGCGACTAGTTTTGGGCTTAGCTTAGATTGCTCGCACTGCAGTAAGAAACAGATATAGAAATAGAAATGAACACTACAGGGTTTACCTGGTACTCGGATACTCTAATTTGATAAGAGTGTTTGTATATAGAAATATAAATGTTTACTTTAAGCAAAAACTCCATATGCAGGGTATCTGTTAGTCAGTTACTGCCTATGAATCATGTGTGTTTTGTAATTCAATATAGTATAACTCTTGCTCTTGCCATCTGATATTCAATAACATTCTCATTCATGGCGTCCCTGCATTTGAGGCTCTACTGTGCCATCTGATGCACTCTGAAATGTGAGCGCAAATGCCGCTTAAACCACTTGCAGCCACCTACCCAAACACTTGTCATGAAGTGTCTCTCTCTCTCTCTCTCCCACTGTCTTTCTCTCTCGCTCTTCAGCTGCTTTCGTAGTAAATTGTAGTATATAGCCGAACCACATTCATTCATGAGTCAGTGTGTGGGGGCTGCTTCACGTTTGATCGAGTTCAAAGTTGTTGCAGTGGGCGTGTGGGCATGGGGCGTGGCTGGCACTAGTGCGCTTATGCATATGAAGTGGAAAATTGATATTTATAGTTTGTAGCAGACGCACTCAACACGAGAGAGCGAGCAATCAGAGCCAAGCCGCAGGCCTGTATTTCGTGCAACAACAACAAACGATAATCGCATTCGGAAGTTGGCCAAGCGACATTTCCTAAACGGAGCATCAATTGTGAATGTTAACTTGATTTAGTTTATGTTTTTTTATTTGTTAATTTTATTCATATTTTGTTTTTTAAGCAGGTGTTTTAAGGCTTAGCATTGTTATGTGGGCTCTAAATTTGGTAACATCGGACGTAGTTTATGAAGCTTATGAAACGCATGAAACTTATTTATTAGCGTGTTTTGTTCAGGCAGTTGAATGTGTGAACTTGGTCTCTGAGCAGCCGAAATGGCAATGAACTCACTCACCATGGTCACCCACGAGGAAACACCTCAATCTGTGTATGTGTGTGTGTGTGTGTGTGTGTGCTTAACTTATCATTTACGCGTCATGTCTTTGGCAATTAGCAGAGCCAACGCCGACGTCGTCTCATCGCCCCACTGCATTGCTGCCATTCGCGTCATATGATGCGATTATTAATTTCTTGATTACGACAACATTGTGACATGCACAAACATGCCTGCAAAGGGCTCTGCCTGCAAGAGGGTTCTGCGAGCTTGCGCTTCAGCTTGTGGCGTGTGTAAGCCAGGTTAACGAAGCAGCAAAGCCAATTAGATGCCATCATTATGCTAGGAGCCACAATTCCACATTCGCTCCACAATGCTGAGTGCCAAGCACCATCTTAATGTCACAAGCCCCTCCCTTCAGCCACCCGCTTTATGCACAGAGTCTGGCTGGTGGTGCTCCGTGGCTCAAGCAGTCCTGAAGTGTTGCACATTGCTGCATGGCTCAATGACACTCATTATTTATGTGCAGTGAGAGCTCACGACTTGAGGGAAACGTCTCCAGCAATTCAAATAGTTCGACCATAGGCTGGCCCGGCCTAGACAAGGCTAGGCTAGACATTTCTTTACAGAAAGCGCGCATAGACGGTCTTCCATGGTTTGAATTCTTAATTGATTTGTAGGCCGTTGAGCAATTTATTTGACCGACTAGGGGAATCATTTGAATAGGAACTAAGTCTCTATAACTGAGAGACAAGAAATGGTATTTGTTTACATACGAATAGAATCGAAAATATAAATATAATAAAATACGATTAACTTTGGCTTTTACTATACATATATTGGAAAATGTATCAAGAAGTTTTAATATTATTAGAGCTCGTAAATATGTATGGGATATTTATTTGACAATACTCTATACTCTAAGTATATTTATAGCATAGAGATTTTCTAATATTATCTTTTCTAATGTCAATATTTTATATTCTATAGTATAGATATATAGTTATCTCATGATTATAAGTACATATGTATATATGATATTCAAGCGAGAATTGAGGAAACTGGAAGTTTCTTGAAAGAGCTACCTACATATACAAACGAACTGAAACTGAGAGTCTTTGTTATTAGCACTACATATGTTTTAAAGACAGTTGAGGAACAGTCTGATTAAGCTTATAGTATACCTCTATAAGTTGATGGTATATACCTCTATATAAGTGATACATTTAGGTTTCCCATTACACTCTCAAAATACCATTTAAACTTCTTTTACGTCCACTTCTTTATAGGACCTTCCTTTCTCTCTCTCTCTCTGTCTTCATCTTTCTCTCTCTCTCTCTCTCTGTCTTCATCTCTCTCTCTCTTTCTCTCTCTCTCTCTCTCTGTCTTCATCTCTCTCTCTCTTTCTCTCTCTCTCTCTCTCTGTCTTCATCTCTCTCTCTCTCTTTCCCTCTTTCCATCTCCCTCTCCACTATTTCTATGTAAATTTTGTGAAACGCTTTCAGCTTGATATGTCACTGTCATTGACCCTCCTCAGCAGTTGAGGTTTTGAGGCTTGTAAAGTGCATTTCTTGATCCACCCCTGTCTGAATGTCTAAATATAATGGGCTGCTTACCTGGCGAGCATTTCTTATTGTTTTTTGTTTTGTATGCCCGAAGCGGGCTCGACTGCGTCTCGGCTGAGAGTGAGTCATGCTCTTGGCTTGTGCGATTCACCATGCTCAATCTACAGATCAGAGACATGCGTGTTTTTATATAGAGTATGAAATGGGCATTTCAATTATCAGATGGAATGTGATACATAGGGGGACATAGTATCCGATATAGTTATAGCTATTTATAAGTGTAGTTAAAATTTATCTTAATAAATACTTTATACTTCATTTGACATTGTTAAAAATTGTTTATGATTGTTATTTCGAGATATAGCTAATGAGAAATTTAAAATAACTATAGACACAAGTCTAGCCCTATTGAGTACCGTAATCCTAGCTTAAAGCCTGATTGCTTCTTCGAAAATTTCTGATAGATATTTGCTCTACTATAATTATATAATAATCAGAACCTCAACTACTAATTAGCCCACTTTTCCAAAGTAAGGGTATTCCATATGCGACACACTTAAACCACCAATAGTTTCCTTTGTCAGTGATAATCAAACAATATCCATTACTCATAATAAGAGGTTTCGTCTGAGTTTTCCTCTGTATCGTCCATGATTGACAACGATAATCACGCAAAAAATTGTGGCTAATTGCAAAAAAACTGTATTGAAAAGAGAAGAAAGGAATGAGATTGACGGGCAAAAGAAAAGAAAGAAAGAGATGCGAATGGAGCTGCGCAGAGATATGAGCAGTTCCCAACATGCTCGCATTGTTGTTCGGCTAACAATGCATTCTCAAGCTCGAGAAGTCCGCACAGGCCAGAACTAAATATAAACATCTTGGCGATCTTCTAGCTTAGCATGTGTCCGCCCCAAGATGAAGATGGGGCGTGCGCTCCATCTAAGGGCAGCTGCTAACAATTCAACTAAGGCGAGAGAGGAAAGAGTTCATCGACTTTGAAGTGAAAAGAAAAGTTGGCATTCTTTGAGTTTGGTAGAAATGTTAGAACTTTTTATGTGAGCTGTGATTAAATAATTGAATAGCTAAGAGCTGATGGAATTATATGTGGAAGGCATATGTATGTATATGTAATATATTTGCAATTTTGCTAAATTTATTTGTATATATTTTTAAAAAAAGCTGAGTTAACGACTTTATATAATAGGAAAATAGAGAATTAGCATATTTTGAGTAGAACTATGAAAGGTTTCTCTGAAGAATTTATTTATTTTTTTTTTTTTTTAACATATAACTAATAGAACCTAGAAAATATTTAAACTTTTTTTTTCATTGAGACTGGAAAGGGTAAAATGAAAGCATTTTTTGTCAAAATAATTAATAATTACCAGTATAGTTAATTACTATAGAGCCTTAATTATTATAGAGAATAAGTAGCCTCAATAATAAATAAATTATTGTAAATAAGAAAAAATACAATAATAAATCAATATTTCATTTATAGATAATTTAGTGTAAAGAGTTTTTCTTCACTCTAAATACAGGCATATTGGAGTGCTTAAAATTGTAGACTCTAGTTCTATTGCTGTAAAATCTGCCCTTTACATACGCATATTTTCCATACCTTATAAACATAATGCCAAATGGGCTCTTTCTTCTATTCAATTACTTTGCGCTTATCTGAAACAAATAATGATAAGAAATGTTTTGCATAGATAAGGTCACATTATATATGTATAATACATATTTACATATATACACATATGTTCGCTGAACAAATTGCAGTATATGGAGAACTGTAATGGAACTTACTCGACTCACCTATAGAACACCGTGCGCTGTCTATTCAAAGCAACTGTATTTTTGCTGTGCCACATCTGGTGATCAAATAGCTTCGCCTGCTCTACAAATATTTACACAAGCGTCGACACAGACAAGTGAAGTTGGTTGTGGAGGGGAGGGCCGCGGGAGGTAAAGGGAATCGAGCACGGGGCGGAGCAGCAACTGTTAAAGCAAACTGTGCCACACAGAATCAAGGCAAAAAAAAAAAAAAAAAAAAAAAAAAGAAAAGGTAAAAAAAAAAAGCAGCGCCAACAACTTCCGTAGTTTGGCTAGTTCGTTCACACTTTCTGGATTATGCAGCATCCATAAACACAAACATACGCATACACACACATACACTGTGCTACATGGGCACAACTTCTATTTGCGTTAGTCAGTAAAAAGCGCCCATTGATGGGGCACTAGCTGGGCGCTGGTTGGAGTCCAACATGAATCGAACATGAGGCCATCTGCCTGCTCTCTAATTGATCAGAACTCCATGCAGCCCTTACACATGCATACATGCATATTCATATATAGACACGCACACATTTGTAAATATTTATATTTCTCTATGCAAATGATATTTGATTTCTGCTCTGTGTGGGCCTGCAATTCAGTTTAGATGAGTTCTCCTATCCATGAAGATGTCTGAGAGTTATATGTCCATAGACATATACTTACATGGATATACACATATGCACATATATGGACCTACTCTACTCTATATGGGCTAACGATGAGCGGACTGAATCGAATCGCTTCTCTTTGCTAGCTCTGCCGGAGCACAGTTAGCTGCTGCTGTTTGCTGTTTTAATGAGCATCGATGTAAATTTTTATCTCCAGATTGAGCTCGAATGTAGACATCATAATGAGTTGTATAAATTCTATATATGCCGAGCGCAGAATTTGAATAGTCTGCATAAGACTTTGCATAAACTTTGTAGACTGCAAACAAAAGACGCGAAACTTTCATTTTATTAGGAACTTCTAGTTTCTTTTGCGGTTTTAATTGAGATAAGCAGATAACTGCGTGATTGAATGACTAATAGATTGTCTGACTAATTAATGCATAGTCCAATATATTAGAACTTTTATGGATCTCTGTTAAAGACTTGCTTGTTTACCATTTCTTGAGGATCTACATTTATTACTAAAAATCTTTGCATAATATTTATGTCAATGTCGAAATACCCGTGTATAAGCTTCTTTAATAGAATCAACACTAAATAAATAAATAATCTAGTCCTAAAGAAGATGAGGGCTGTACATACATACATACATATGTGCATATAGTATAAATATTTATATTATTGTTCACACTTTTCTGAAAATCAACAACTGTTTCAGGGAAAATTATTCCCTTTACAATTTGATGCCTTTCCTGGAAGGGTGTAAGGTCTTAAATTCCTGAAACTCATTAGGAAAATTTTCATTATAATAGACTCAATATTTTCTGTATTTATTTTTACCTATTCCTATTACATTTATATTTCTGCATATAACTTTAGAAAATCTATAATAATTAATAAACAAAATATCTATATAACTATATTAAATCTATAATAATATGACTGCTCCAGAAAACTTTATAATATTTAATAATAAATGCAGTATTAAAACATTTCTTTAATTAACAATAGTTATAATAATCAAGTTCCTCTAATTATAATAATCAACATAATAACACAATTTCCCTATTTAAACATTGATGATCCACCATGTTAAATATAATAATAAAATTGTTTAGCACGCCCCTCACATGACCTTAAATGATTGTCTACAATGTAAAGCATAAAAACCTAACCGAACTGAACCTGAATTCTAGGCAATACTAGGCCCCTCATTACAACACGTAATTGCATCCTTCAAGACCCTTTGGTTTGTGGTGTTCCCATGTAAACAAGAGGGCTGCGAACTGGGTCAGAGGCGTTCAAGTAAGCCTTCTGGAGACCACTCTTTCGACTTGTTTTGTGGTTAATAATAAATGCACTTGTTTGTTCTGGTTGTTGTTGTTGTTGTTGTTGTTGTTGGTTGGTTGGATGGCATAGAACATGTTACGGTTCATTCAACACTCAACGGCGACAACGGAAAGCGCTGCAATAGGAATGGCCCATGCAGGGGCCTGGCCAAACTATTCTCGGCTGGATGCACACCTGTTTACCGATTTACCGATTTACCTGTTTGGCTGTGGGCCTGGCCGACCAGCGTTAGAAGAACCGTAGGGTGACAAATCAGTCGAGCAAAAGCTAATTGCACACATCCGGTTTGAGGTCAGGCGATGGTTCATTGATTGATGTTGCCCGCAGGATGTGGGAGCAGGAAAATAAGGACTTTTCTATAATTAATCATCAAATTTGTTGTTATTTTTCTTGCAGAAAACCTTTTGCAAGGTCCGTACTACAATGGCGAAGGCCGGGACAGCAGCATGGGCAGTGAATGTGGCGCTGCCGATATGAATCAGGCGAACAACGAGGATCCCGGCGATGGCCTCGGACCACTGCCGCCCAAATGGGAGACGGCCTATACGGAGCGCGGCGAACTGTACTTTATAGAGTGAGTAATTGAGAAGAGAAAGCTTTTGTATAAAATGAATAAATATTTCCTTTTATTTCTAGCCACAACACGGGCACCTCGCACTGGCTGGATCCGCGTCTGTCCAAGTATCAGAAAAAATCGCTAGAGGATTGCTGCGAGGATGAGCTGCCCTACGGCTGGGAGAAGATTGAGGACTCCATGTATGGCATGTACTTTATTGACCATGTGAATCGACGCACTCAGTATGAGAATCCGGTGCTTGAAGCGAAACGTCGTGCGGCTGAGCAACGCCAGCAGCAGCAGGAGCAACTGCAACTGCAACAACAGCAGAAGCAACAACAGCAGCAGCAGCAACAACAACAGCAACATGCACCGCCGCCTCAGCAACGCTCAAAGACGCCGACGGCAGCGCAGGAGGCAGCGAATGCCAGGCAAACTCCGTTGCCAGCGGCGCCAATGCCAATGGCAGCCAATGCAGCCAAACTGCCGTACAAATTCACACGCAATCCGGCAGAGCTGCAGGGCCAGCGGATAAACACAACGCTGGTGAAGTCGACGCGGGGATTGGGCTTCACCATTGTTGGCAGCGACGGCAGCAACGGCAGCGATGTGGAGGAGTTTCTGCAGATCAAGACAGTGGTGCCCAACGGTCCGGCCTGGCTGGACGGGCAGCTGCAGACGGGCGATGTGCTGGTCTATGTGAATGACACTTGTGTGCTGGGCTACACGCACCACGACATGGTCAACATCTTTCAGTCCATTCTGCCTGGTGAGACGGCTGCGCTGGAGGTGTGCCGCGGCTATCCACTGCCCTTCGATCCGAATGATCCGAACACTGAGGTCGTGACCACCATGGCCGTGGACGTTATGCCGTGCGAGTCGGATAAGCAGCGTCGCTTGAACGTCGACCTGAACATGGATGGCAACTACAATTTTCTGGATTTGTCTGGCGAAGGCGTTAGCAAAGCGGCTGGAAGTGGTTTCATCCTGATGAAGAAGCCGGAGATTTACACGTTTTCCATTATGAAGGGCGCCATGGGCTTTGGCTTCACCATCGCTGACTCCGCTTGCGGGCAGATTGTGAAGAAGATTCTCGACCGCAACTGCTGCACTCAGCTGTTGGAAGGAGATGTGCTGCTCGAGATAAACGGCATCAATGTGCGCAACAAACCTCACTTCTATGTGGTGGAGCTGCTCAAGGAGTGCAGCCAAACCACGCCCACCACTCTCAAGATACAGCGCACGCCGCCCGAGCAATCGGCCGCTGGCCAGGGCCTGGGCAATGTGGCCAATCTGCGCAAGAACTTTGTGGGCGGCACTGGCGCCGGACTGTTTCGCAGCAAAACGCCCACCGCTGATCTGTACAGCACTCAGCCCAAAGAGGTGCTGCCCATGCGGCCCAAGACTCCGTTGGTGGACACGCGACGTGCTCGCGTCCTGACGCCAAATAACGAATTGCAGCAGGCGGATGCGGGTGCATCCGTGGAGAACAAGGCATTGCATCTGCAGGGGTCGGCGGGCAAGTCGAACAATAGTCTGCAGGAGCTGGACGATATACCGTTTATGGATCCCTATCCCAAGATGGTCAGTCGACTGAGTGAGCGCCTGGCCGAGGCCACACTACAGAACAACGTCGATGTGGATGTGGGCGATGGAGGCAACTACAATCCAATTTACGGCTTGCCACCCAGCATGCAGCCGCTGCCACTGCCGCTGGGTCATCATGAATCCTGCTACTGCTACGATTGCCAGGCGCAGCGCTACCAACGACCGCAGCAGCCGTCGCAGCTGGGCTATTACGTGCAGCAGCCGCCAGTTTCAGTTTCATCGGCCACCGGGCAGTACTCGCCGTTGCAAGCGGCGCACATCCAGAACGAGCGGATGCAGCGTCGCGTCAATGAGCTGCTGAGCGATAGACGGCGCGTGGGATTCGCCAACTTGGATCCGCCTCAACAGCAGCTGCAGCTGCAGCATTCGCCCAGCTGGCGTAATGGTGCCTTGCTGGATGCCTCGGAGGATGCGGAGCAGTGTGAGCTGACCGAGGTGACGCTGGAGCGCCAGGCGATGGGCTTCGGCTTTCGCATCGTCGGTGGCACAGAGGAGGGCTCTCAGGTGACTGTGGGCCACATAGTGCCGGGCGGGGCGGCGGATAATGATCATCGAATTGCCACCGGCGATGAGATCCTCAGCATCGATGGCATTAATGTGGTATGTTGATGCGATTGCTTATGACGTGGTGCGCTCATCCAATGCATTTCTTTATTGACTCAGCTAAACTCTTCGCATCATAAAGTCGTCTCATTGGTGGGCGAGTCTGCCGTGCGTGGTCAGGTGACAATGATATTGCGTAGGCGACGGGCTCCGCTGCTTCAGCAAGCGCCGCTGCAGCAACTGCGACGCTATCCCTACGATGTGATTGTCAGTCGGCATGAGAACGAGGGATTTGGCTTTGTCATAATCTCCTCATCGAATCATTACTACGGCTCCACAATTGGTAAGATAGAGCCATGGATTTATCAGGCAATGGGTTGATTGTATTTGTTCTCCCTCCTCAGGCAAGCTTATACCTGGCAGTCCGGCCGATCGCTGCGGCGAGCTGAAAGTGGGCGACAGGATTATTGCTGTTAACCGCATCGATATTGCGGGCATGTCGCATGGCGATGTCGTGAATCTTATAAAGGAATCTGGGTTACATGTGCGCCTCACCATCGGCTGTCCGCTCAAAGAGGGCGGACCCAGTCCCGGCGGCAGCAGTGCGGGCATGGGCTCGAATACGCCACTGCAAGCATCGCCCAGTTTACTCAAAGCTCCACARCAACAACAGCAACCGCAACACCAACATCACCAGCAGCAACAGCAACACCATCAACAGCATCAACAATTGGAAATGCCAGGACTAGGTCCCATGCCTGGCAGCTATCTGGAGCGGGCCAGTACAAATATCGCAGCCACTCTCGCCCTGCACCAGCAGCCACAGTTATGACTCTGAGATCTACGGATTCGGCTCTACAAGAGCTTTCTTTAGCTAGTTTAAATGTGCATTTTACGCGTGCAGTGCCGTAGTTCTATAAATAACTGCTAAGTAACCCCAAAGACTGAATTTAGTAAGCATATGCAACATTTCAAATTTGCGAATCTCCAAGCGCTTCGTGAAGCTACACAAAATTGTCATAAAAATCGGTTTTCTTTTCTCTATCCCTTAGCCTTAGTGACGACTTGCCTTATAGCCTAGTTAGATATATAAGTTATTAATGAAATCACGAGCTTTTCTGCTATGTATAGATCAAATGTATCTGATGTCATATGAAATGGCATCATTTTAACAGTTTAGCATATCGCTATCTATATAAATATTATTGTAAGATGCTTTAGAATAGGCTTTTCTATAAATACCAATTATGAAGTATTGAAATATTTGTACAAATGTAAAACAGCTAAATATTTTTTATTTATATATAATATGTTGTTTAATAAATGATATTACAACTATTGTACGCCATGAGTTTGTCTGTTTCCCTGAATTTCGAATAAATTTCATATTACTATAATCTACGTTTACTAAATGATGGCAGTAGTTATCTCACTGATATATATACATAGGTATATATCGTTTAGTAAAATATCTGGGCCTTAAACACATGTATAAAACTTCATGTAATTTGCTTACAGCTCTAAAATTTCATTTTATTTACCATACATGTACATACAAAATAATACATATGCAATTCATTTGTAGTAAATTATTACAAAATTTAATGAGGCTGTTAATTAAGCTTATGTGTAGAGTATATATGTAAATGTGTTTGAATGCTGTTTTGGGAGAAGTTTTATATGGGTTTAATTTTGAAGTGGAGACCGATGAGGGAGAAGACCAGACACTTTAAATCCTGTACCAAATAATAGAAGCAACGCAAGCCTTCTGGATCCTTGGACCGATTGACGTCCACCAGTGATCCTGTTTTTGAGGTGGTAAAGGAGATGTGCTCGTCGCCAATGACAATTTCCAGTTCCTTTAATAAACACGAAATATGATTAATACATGAATAAATAGGTATGTGTGTATGTATGTATATGTGCTTATGTATGCAAATGCTATTGGCGGCATTTGCAGGCAGCAAAACCTTTCACTCACCTGTCGGCCAACGCGATCTGGTGGAGGCCACGGCAAATCGTCCTCCTGCATGATTTCCGAGTCGATTATGATGCGCTTTAGCTCTTCCATCACAGATTGATGTACAAACGCTTCCTTGCGGATCATGGTGTCATTTTTATAGTTGGAATTGTTGGCATAGCGGAGTTTTCCATCTGGCCGGAACTCGAACTCGAGGAACTCGTGCCCGAACTTTCCTTTGTGGCCAACATAGTAGCGCAAGTAGAAGTCTTCCGTTGACATTTATACCAGGTTTCTGTGGCTTTTATCTAATGAAAATTTGTTTTTCTTCCGGCATCTACTTTTACTCACAACGTTGTGGCTATTTTCAGGGTTGTTGTCTTGCTGTTGGTTTCGATAATTTACTACATCCTACCGATAGTTTATATAAATATCGATTGGTGGCGATATGCTTGCGTAGCCAAGTGAATGGCATATTGCTAGCAAGCTGGCCAAAAGCTGTGTTGAGTTTTGTGTTAAAATGTAACTATTTTATAGATATGCAACTACCTCCATAAATCACTCAATAAACGCGGTACGTAAACACCAAAGTAAACAACGTGAAATGTGCCGGTAATTCAGTTACAATAACTGACAACATTGTAATAATTGCAATTTGCAACAAAGTTGTCCCATGTAGAGGGATATTCATATGTATGTGTGTACATTTGGTGTTTTGTTGTTGTAGCTGTCTGTTTGTGTGTGCCCAGCGCTCGGACGCCAATGTAATGGCGTCGAATTATTCGCCATGAGTGAGAGGACGTGCGTACCACAGGGGGTGGTTGACGACAGCGTCGAGAAGGCGGCGCAGTGCAAGGATCTCGGTCAAAGTAATTTTACAAAAACACAACACTAAAATTTGCTGAGAGCGGCGCTGAGAGTGTTGCTGCTGCTGTTGTTGCTGCTTGCCACAAAACGAAAGTGCAAGGATTTCGAATGCGCCTGCGCATCCATTGGCGGGAAATCAACAAGCATTGGCCTGCACGTGCGTCCTTCGGGCCTGCTGTAAAAATGTCGGTCGTGCAACAAAGTTGCTCTCACTACATCTCACGCTCTCGCTCTCGCTCGCTCTCTCTTTCTATGTGCCTCTCCACGACGGTCGTAACGTTTACTTGGTGGTGGTTTGTTTTGACTGGCGGCACACAAAATCGATGACATTGAGTGCAACTTTCTTGCTGTCTCTCGGTCAGCGCATGTGAAGCAATAATGTTGCATCCGCATGCCGATGTGCCTCTGCTTCTGCCACTGCCTGTGCCTCAGCCAGTAATGTCTTCCTTCATAATATTTACAAAACAAACAAAAACCCACCCATTTCCTTTCGCATACTCCAGCTTCGACTCTGTTTGCTGACTGTGCAATATTCTCTTCGTGCAACTTTTGCCGGTTGCTGCCGCTGCTGCCGTCGCTGCCGCTGCTGCTGCCGTTGATTTTATTGGGGCGCTTACAACTTTGTTAACTTCGGGACTCTGGTCTATGCAGTCGGTATTGAGGACAGTAACCGGAACGAAGTTACTTTGTTGCGCATAATTGATTTTTTCATAAATCCAGGGTTTTTCCTAAAACAAAGTAAATCTAATCAAAATCATCAATTTAAAATGTTGAAAAGACTGTCAATTTAATTGATTAAATAGTGGGATTGTGAATGAACTCTTTAAAGGTAAATTAGAAAATACATGTGTATCATAAATGAATAATTTATACCATACATTTTTAAAAATCTTTTAATTACATTTCTATATGCAGTTAAAATGAATACGAAAACTTAGAATGTATACTTATTATTTACGACTTTTAACTACATATCTATAAAGTTAAAATTAATAAGTAATTAATATAAACATTTTTTTTAAAGGCCTTTTTCCATATACTGAATAAGTAATTTAAAAGCATATAGTAAAGCTTAAAAAATACTTTAAGTTTAAGTAATTTAAAAACTCTCATTTTCTTTTCTCTTTCAGGCAATGTAGAAGCTCTACATATTTTATAAAAAGTACTTGTATAGACTCCTTCATAGACGTTAACTGTAGAAAAGAAAACGCATTCCATCTGGTTGGCTAAAGTAATTATGGATACATGAACTAAAAGTTCTGCACTGACTGGAAAGTAACGGGAACGGGGATAGGGCAGGAGCCGAAAGTCAAACATGTCAACGAACCCCAACCAACACCAACACCAACTGCAGCAGCAACAACAGCACGCAACAACTGCAGCCGCATGCAATCGGGAGCGGGAGAGAGCGAGAGCTGGAAGCAGCTCGCAACGCAACTTGCTCGAGTTCCTCTGCATTTGTGTGGCATGTGTGGTCTGCTATTACAATAGCACGCAGTGCGGTCTGGTGTTTGACGACATCAGCGCGATTAGGGACAACAAGGATTTGCGGCCGAGCACGCCGCTGCGTAATGTGTTCCTCAATGATTTCTGGGGCACGCCGATGCGCAAGGAGCAGTCCCACAAGTCGTACAGGCCGTTAACCGTGCTGACGTTCCGCTTTAACTACTTGCTGCATGCACTGGAGCCGTTCGGCTATCATCTCGTCAACCTGCTGCTGCACATTGCAGTCTGCCTGCTGTGGCGTCGTGTCTGCCGCCTCATATTGCGCCAGTGTGCAGCTGGCAGTAATGAGGCGTCGTCCGCTGCATCCTCCTCGTCGTCGTCATCCTCCCTCAACACATGCGCCTTTGTGGCCTCGCTCCTGTTCGCCACACACCCGGTGCACACCGAGGCCGTTACTGGCGTCGTAGGCCGCGCTGAATTGCTCTCTTCCATATGCTACCTGGGCGCCTTTCTCAGCTATGCGCACGCAACGAGTGGCTCGCCGCGACGCACGAACTGGCCGGCGCTTTGCCTTTGCTTTGGCAGTTGCCTCCTGGCCTCCATGCTGTGCAAAGAGCAGGGCATCACCGTCGCTGGCATTTGTGCAGTTTACGAGTTGTTCGTGGTGCAGCAGCAACGGCCGCTGCAGCTATGGCATTTAGTGCTGCGTATGTTTGAGGAGCAGCCGCCGGCTAAGGCGGGCCATGCACATGCCAGACGCTGGTCATCCACCTTGTGGAAGCGCCTGGCTTTTCTGGTCATCATCACAGTCGCATTGCTAGTCGGACGTGTCTATGTGATGGGCTCCCAGTTGCCCATCTTCACGCGCTTCGATAATCCCGCCTCGGCAGCCGAGACGCCCGTGCGCCAACTGACTTACGCCTACCTCATTTACCTAAACTGCTGGCTCTTGCTATGTCCATCGCTGCTCTGCTGCGATTGGACAATGGGTGAGTGATTCGTAAATTGAATATTTGGAATGTCTTTTAAACACTCTACTCCTTGCAGGCACCGTGCCCTTGCTGGATGGATTTGGTGATGCACGAAACTTGGCCACCTTGTGCACCTTTTTGGCTTTGGGCGCGCTGGTGGCAAAGGCTTGCTTCTCCCGCAATCTATCCCAGTCACGCACGTTGCTCATGTGCCTGGGCTGGATGGTGCTGCCGTTTCTGCCCGCTTCGAATCTGTTCTTTCCGGTTGGCTTTGTGGTGGCCGAGCGCATTTTGTATATGCCATCCATGGGCTACTGTCTACTTGTTGCTTATGGCTATCATCAGTTCCAGCGCCGTTTTCACGCCACTCATTGGGGGCGTCTGGCGCAAACGGCACTTGTTGCCCTGCTGCTGGCGCATGGCCTGAAGACACAGCAGCGCAACTGGGATTGGCGCACAGAGTACTCGCTGTTCATGTCCGGCGTGCATGTGAATCAACGCAATGCCAAACTGTACAACAACGTGGGTCACGCCCTGGAGAACGAGGGACGATACGAGGAGGCATTGCTCTACTTCCAGCAAGCCGTGCAAATACAAACAGATGACATTGGCGCCCACATCAACGTCGGCCGCACGTACAACAACCTGAAGCGCTACGCGGAGGCAGAGCAGGCGTATATGCGTGCCAAGGCGCTGTTCCCACAGGCCAAGGCTGGCGTTAGCTACCATGCACGAATCGCGCCCAATCACCTGAATGTTTTCATTAATCTGGCCAATCTGATATCGAAAAATCAAACAAGGCTGGAGGAGGCCGATCATCTCTACCGTCAGGCCATCAGCATGCGCAGTGATTATGTGCAGGTAAGTGGTGTTAAATATATCGCATATTTGAATTTAACTGAAATATTCCTGCTGCAGGCTTATATAAATCGTGGCGACATTCTCATGAAACTGAATCGTACAGCCCAAGCGCAGGAGGTCTATGAGCAGGCGCTTCTATACGACAGCGAAAATGCGGATATATATTACAATTTGGGCGTCGTGTTTCTTGAGCAGGGCAAGAGTCAGCAGGCCCATGTGTACTTCAACAAGGCCATCGAATTGTATCCGGAGCACGAGCAGGCGCTGCTTAATTCGGCTATACTTCTGCAAGAGCTGGGCGGCGAGGAGGCGCGTCAGCTGTCGCGCGCCCGCCTTTACAAGGTTCTGTCTAAGGATGCGAATAATGAGAAGGTCTACTTCAATCTGGGCATGTTGGCCATGGATGAGTCCAGCTTTGACGAAGCCGAGCAGTTCTTCAAGCGCGCCATCCATTTAAAATCGGACTTTCGTAGCGCTCTCTTTAATTTGGCTTTGTTGCTGGCTGACTCGAAGCGACCGCTGGATGCAGTTCCTTTTCTGAATCAATTGATACGCCACCATCCCACACATGTCAAGGGCCTCATCTTGCTTGGCGACATCTACATCAATCACATGAAGGATCTGGATGCGGCAGAGAAGTGCTATCGCAGCATACTACAGCACGATCCGCACAATACGCAGGGCCTGCACAATCTCTGCGTGGTTTTCGTGGAGCGCAAATGGATGGCCAAGGCTGCTGCTTGCCTGCAGTTTGCTCAGCGACTAGCCCCCAATGAGGATTACATCGGGCGTCATCTGCAGATCGTAATCACACGCCTGCAGAAAATTAACAAGTTACCTGAAACGTCGCCTGAGCGACAGTTAGCTTACAAGGACTACGACCCAGACGAGTTCAGGTTGGCCAGCGATCGAGACGTGCACAAAACTCGCACTCGTTCATAGCGTCACTAAGTTCGTATTCCTCAGATCATTCCAGCATTTTGTTGAACGTATGTAAGCAAATTGTACATTCCATAAGGATATTAATTGAATCTCGTTTGAAAACGGATATAGGAACGTGAACTGTTTTTTTTAATCTTATATAACAAAAGTACGTAATCAAAGCCTGATCTTGTTTTGTATATAGCTCCAAATTGTTTCTAATCAAAAGACGTACTACCGAAATAATGCATTTATTATACACAAATGAAATTGTACTTAATGGGCACTAAATAAAATTAACTATACTTGATTCATATTTCACCTTATTTATTTATAGTTGGCTGATGAAAATTTTAATTGAAAGTACTTTGGCTCTTCATTGGAAAGGTCTTGATCTAAGCTTCTGCTAACGAAATGTTGATAGATAGTAAAATGAGATGTTCTAAAAGTTAAATTTATATTAAACCCACAAATGCATTTTTAAACATTTTTGGAATTCTCCTGTTCCATCTATTGATTTTTCTGATTTAGCTAAAATTTAATATAAATATTCAATA